AGGGCCTAAAAGGATTAGATAGATTTAACCAAATTTATTATATATCATATAAATTAGTATTTATTTATACTTAAAAAAACACATAATTGTATTGAAAATTAAAATACATAAATTGCAAAATAAATGACATAAGCTATAATGTATTAAAGCATATTGAGAAATTGAGAACAATCATATAACGAGTGTTTATTTGAGTATTCAACATGTCTCTTTCATTTTATTAAAAAAATAAAATACAAAATATAATATATTTATTTTCTGTATAAATGAGATGCGCGATCAAGTGCCTAGGTGTGATAGCCCGTCCCGAATTATTTTTGTCGATGGCGTGAAATTACTAAAGTACCCTTGAACGTTTGTGGCGTTGTGTGATTTAAGTTTTGGATGTGGACCAATATGTTAAGTCCCTAATATTTTTGGAACCAATTAGGAACTTAGACTTAGGTTTGTTTTCTTGTTTTTGGTTGGTTGCAAATTGGACCACACAACACACACATACCAATCCCTTTCCCCGTTGACCTTTTCTCTCTCTCCTTCTCTCGGACTTCATCCATTTTCCATACAAGTCATACGAACACCACCCAAACCATTCCATTTCTTCACGGATTGATGTCGAGGAGGATGTTTTTATGTTCCTTGCAAGCTCAGGAAGTCATCTACACTATTATCTAGATGTGAAGCCTTCATTTTCTTGAGAAACCATAATCTCCGATTTGAGCACTGTTCATGCAATCGTAAATGTGAAATTTTTAGGAGATTTTAAGCTGTTAGGAAGCTTTAGAACGTCTTCACGAAGCTCAGAGAAGAAAAACGAAGTGTTTTGGACGTCGGGAAGTTGAGTTTGGCGAGTTTCAAGTTTGGCCGGATTATCAAGGCTTCTTCGACAAGATCCCGTGGATTTCAGGGCTTGAAATTGGTAAGGTTTTGTTCTTCTCATTGTAAGCTTTAACTTGAGACAAATTTCATGGGATTTGGTTGAGAAATGGATGAAGTTTTAAAGTTTTTCCAGTTTTCCAGCAACAACGACGGTCCGATGAACCAGGAAAGAAGACGACGGAATATTCTAACGGCGTCAAGTAACTTCAACAGCATATGCTATTTTTTTTACTGTGTTAATGATTTCGTTAGGTGTGCCAGGCACGTAAGGGCGCGTGGGGTAATGAAATTTTTTTCTAAAAATATGAGGATGTTCGTGGTGTTAAGTAGATCACGTTGGTATATTCAAACACCCTATTTGAGTAATGTATGAGAAGTTATTAGCTAGTTTCGTTTATGTGCTTTAAATTAATGTTTATATAGTTGTTTCGTATATAGGTGAGACCTATCCTCAGGATGAGCGCAATCAATCGAGACTTGGGGGATACAACCCTTCCATATACCAGTGAGTGGGTTTTTGGTTTTCCGTATATACCTATATGTTTTCGATTTTTCCCAGAAAATCGATTTAAATGGAATTATGTTTTGAAATGCTATGCCTATTGATTTATGCTTAGACTATGAATTTGTATGATATTTGCATATTTGTGATTTGACGTGGTGGACGCTCAGGTAAGTACCAGGTGAGTTGCAGACTGTTTATGTGAATTGATAATTATGTGAGATGTGTTAAGAGCTCATAAACCTGCACTCCCGTGTTAGTGCTCCTGCCCAAAGTTAGGGCACAGTTCTTCATGTGATGTTCACCTCCCACACCTTACGCTCACCTTAGATCCAAGTTAGGTGCACAATCCTGTCGTACAGACCACTATAGGTGGTTTCGACTCGTAGGTGACCCACAATTATTCGCACAATCTTCACGTGATTGTAGCACCTGAGCGTATTTATTTACACCCAGTCATGTCATACAAATCATTTTAGGTGGTTCCGACTCGTGTGCAGGTATATTTGTTGAGATGTCGATTTGAGTCGTACATGTCACGTTAGGTGACTCCTGCTAGATGGATGAGGTCTAGATTCAGCTGTACAGGTCACGTTAGGTGACTCCGGCTGACATATCATTTGCATTGATTTATGTCACATAGCTTACATATTTTTTTTATGTGGAGATATTCGACATGGCATATTTGTGAATTTGGCTATTCTAAGCATGGTTTCGATATATGTATATATTCTATTTCTGGGAAATTATACAGGTTTTACGACGAGGGGTTACTATCTTTGATAATTGAAATGGTTTTGAAAAGCATTGTTTTTGCCCACTCACACTTTCTGTTTTGCGCCCCTCTAGGTTTTAGTTAGAAGTGCTTTTTGGTGGCTTGCGAGGAATCCACGGCAGCTCTGACAGATTATCACCATTGTATGGTCATTTTTGGGTGTTGTATAATTAATATTCATCCTACTAGACTGCACTTAGGCTACTTATGCTCTGGTTGTGAATTCACACTTATTTCGTCTTGCACCTTATTTTATTTAGTGCTCTAGTTAGTTTGGTTTTTATTTATTCGCATTTCTTATATTATTATTGCTTTTGCATTGTGTGCATGGCTGCGTCGCTCTCATGTGACGACCAACACGCCTTGTTTTCGGTCGAGGTGTGTTACTAGGTGTGCTGAGTGAATCCAAATAAATAAACATGCCCTAAATAAATAAAAATAAAAAAAATAAAATAAAAGCCTTTAGTCATGGACTCACAAAATATTTTAAAGGGAATCTTAATAAAACATTTATGGTACTGTTAAGAACATTTTGATTAAAACTAAAGCTTTTGAGGACTTTTGGTTAGTTTTTTTATTTTAAAAGTAAGCGAAGTTTCCACTCATCGAAAAAGGATCCTCGTCGGATCCTGGACTTGGCATTCATGTCGTGTTTTTTGTGTTCGTGTCATACCCGATATCTTAACGGGTCATGTTGTGTAACACCCGTTAAAATAAACAGGTAAAATGACACGATCCGTTAATATTAACAGGTAATATGACCCGACCCGTTACCTGTTAAGGAAAATATATTTTAAACCAACAAATAATCAAATGAAAAACATAATAATAAATAAGTATATACATACCATATTGTCACATCCAAAACATAAAAATGCATTTTTCTTTTAAGTATATTTTCGCTTACCTAAATTGATCAAATGGTATAATCGGAAAATATTGGAATAGAGAAGGGGTTTTTTTGTCCAAAAAAGTTCTAATAATATAAGTGAAATAGAATCCAACTGTACATATTTACTCTCATTTATCTTATGGCTGTTATTTAAGTAAAGTTTTTACTAGTTTTTTAATTAATATAGAAGTGTAAAAAATATAGAAAATAAAAATAAAAACGCTCGTAATGACAAGCCTTACAACTTTCATGAAGAGCTTAACTTCGAAATTCGGCACTATAATCATATAAATCGCAGATCAAAATTTAACCGTTGATTGTTGTTTACATTTACGTTTTATTGTTCTCATGAAATTTTGTTTGTTTGTTTTTTTTATTTTTATCTTTTATTTTTTCAGATTTTCTTCTTTGCAAACATGATCTATTAAAGGGTGCAGAAAGATGAACAGTTTGGATTGTTGATATTATATTCAGAGTTTTACGGTTAGTGAAAATATTGCTTGATGTTTATAAAGTTTCTACAAACTATATGACATCAACTTATATTTCTGTTAACCTTAAATATCGAAATGTGATATCAAAAATCTGAACCATTCATCTTCTTATATCTGTCAGATGATCATGTTTTCAAAAAAGAAAATTTTAAAAATAAAATTCAGTAAGAAGAATAAAATGTAAATGACAATCGACGGTTAAATATAAATTTAAGGTTTATGGATTATGGATTATAGTGTTGGATTTCGAAGCTGACCCCTTCATGAAAGTTGTAAAGCTTGTCACTATGAGTGATTGTGTGTGTGTGTGTGTGTATATTTTTTTTTTTACATTTTTTACACTTCCACAATAATTATTATTAATTTTATTAATTTTGCCCTCAAATGAAAAACATTATGCATGAGGATTTGGAGGATTTTAAAAATCTAAACGATAATGTAAGTGTAACCATTATCTATTCGTAGAGGAATAATGATGAATCACGAGTGTTTATATATTCTTTTACATTTTTCATACTATATGTATGTCATCTTAATTCTTGCCTATACAAATACTACACTAGTTTATTTTACTTTTGGATAACAACATGTTAAGTAAAATTTATCCTAGTAATGATAATAAGGAGCTCTCATAATAAAAATAAACGATGGCTAAAACTTTTTTTTTTTAAACTTATTTGTACTAATTAATAAAACACTCATTGTCAACCAAAACCTTATGAAATTATGATTTTAATCCTCTAATTAAAACAGAATATGAATAAGAAATATGAGATAGAAATGTAATTTCACACAACCAATTTTGCTGTTTTTTTTTTCAAAACCTCATCTATATGTAATTCTAACATATTTCTAATTAAAAAAAAAAACTTTCCACTCCCACATTCTCTATCACTCTTTTCCTCTCTCTCCTTCTATTACAAAAACTAAAATAAAAAATTTTCTCACACACCCATGGCCCCATATGCTAGTATAAAATAATAATACAAAACTATGTATTTAATATAGAATATATTGTATATATTAATATAGCTATTGTATTTTATAATAAATTTTTTAGTAATTAAACTTTAAAATTATCAGAATAATTTTTTTCTTAACAGGTCTAAATGGATTACCCACGTGTTACCTGCATGTATACTTGTTAAGAATCCGTTCTTAATGGATCACCTGATAATGACCCGATTAGTTATCTTATTGACCTGAAACCCTGTATTTTCATGTCGTGTCAGAAACTGCCGGGTCTACCTGATCATTTTTCTGAAAATTTGAAAATCTTGTAATCATATCTGTTTTATCGTAGATCGTATCACCATTTTTCATTACATGCTATTTATATTTAATTTTAATTTTTAAATTTAAAATGATGTACTATGAGTTACAAGATCCCGAATCTCCAGGAAAAGGATTCCCCACCCACCTACTACTGCTACTATTCTAAAAGTGTATGTAGACCACTGCATCATTGACCAAAACCAGATCTAGCGTTCCTCACTTCTTGGTCGCTTTTTATCTAGCGTTCCTCACTTCAATTTCAGTGATTCAAGAGTTTCAAATCACTAGTTTCCAGAAAAGAAAAAGAGAAAGAAGAGAGAAAAATGGGTACAGAGGCTTTCCCCTCTGCTTCAATCCAGAGGCTCCGCGACAAGGTTGCTTCTGCCGAGTTCATGGACTTGTTCCGTGGCCTAAAACTTGATCTTTCACTCCTGGAGGAACTGAAGCTGACTTTTCTGACCCTTGATGCAGTGCTCGATGATGCTCAGGATCAGGAGACTGATAACTTTGCTGTGAGAGTGTGGCTTAACGAGCTCACACATGCAGTCTTCGATGCAGAGGATCTAGTGGATGAGATCGATACTGAAGGTTTGCGTCGCAAGGTGGAAGCTGAATACCAAACTAAGAAAACCCAGGTGTTGAATTTGCTTTCTGATTCTCTTACTCCTTTTCATCGAGGCGTGAATGGTAGGATTCAAAAGACTTCTAAGAGATTAGATTTCCTTGCAAAACAGAAAGATGGTCTTGGTTTGAAAGAACGTGCTGTTAGAGGGAGTGTTTCGTCACAAAGTCCAACAAGTCCCATTGTTGTCGAGGATATTTTTGGTAGGGATGAAGAGAAAGAGAAGTTGAAAGCACTGTTGCTATCTGATGATGCAAGTAGCGGTGATATATCTATAATCCCCATAGTTGGGATGGGCGGTGTCGGCAAGACAACCCTTGCTCAGCTCCTTTACAATGATAAAAAAATAAATGAGTATTTTGATGTCAAAGCTTGGGCCTGTGTTTCTGAAGATTTTGATGCTGTTAGGGTAACTAAAGACCTTCTCGGGTCAATTACTTCAGAACCTTGCGAGATTTTAGATATGAGCTTGCTTCGAGTTGAACTTAGGGAACAAGTGAGGGGGAAAAAGTTTCTATTTGTGTTGGATGACCTTTGGAATGAGAACTCTAATGATTGGGATCTTGTACGGGCTCCTTTTACTTATGGGGCGAGGGGAAGTAAGGTCATAGTGACAACAAGGGACGCAGCGGTCGCATCCACTGTGCATACTCTTCCTATTCACTACTTGAAACTTTGTTCAGATAAAGATTGTTGGTTGTTACTTGCAAAACATGCATTTAGAAATGAAAATTCTCCTGTGCATCCAGACTTGGAAGAAATTTGTAAGAAAATTGCGAGCAAGTGCCGTGGTCTTCCTTTAGCTGCAAAAGCACTTGGGGGTCTCTTAGGTTGTAAAGTAGGTTACAAGGAATGGAGTCACATATTGAACAACAATCTTTGGAATGAATTTGATCTGGACAAGAAGACATTTGAGATAACAGATCACCTTGCAAAACTGAAAGATGTCCTTGGTTTGAAAGAACGTGCTGTTAGAGCGAGTGTTTCGTCACAAAGTCCAACAAGTCCCATTGTTGTCGAGGATATTTTTGGTAGGGATGAAGAGAAAGAGAAGTTGAAAGCACTGTTGCTATCTGATGATGCAAGTAGCGGTGATATATCTGTAATCCCCATAGTTGGGAGGGGCGGTGTCGGCAAGACAACCCTTGCTCAGCTCCTTTACAATGACAACAGAGTGAAAGAGTATTTCGATGTTAGAGCTTGGGTATGTGTTTCCCAAGATTTTGATCCGATTAGGGTAACAAAAACCCTTCTCGAGTCAATTGCTTCAAAACCTGTTGGAATTTTAGATGTGATATTGCTTCAAGAAGAACTTAGGGAACAAATAAGGGGGAAAAAGTTTCTGTTTGTGTTGGATGACCTTGGGAATGACAACTATAATGATTGGAATTTTCTCCAAGCTCCTTTCACTTATGGGGCAAGGGGAAGTAGGGTCATTGTGACAACAAGGAGCACAATTGTGGCGTCCCTCGTGCACACCGAATCTATTCACCACTCAAAACCACTGTCTACAGAATGTTATTGGTTGTTACTTGCAAAACATGCATTTGGAAATGAAAACCCCAGTTCATATCCAGAATTGGAAGGAATAGGTAAGCAACTTGCACGTGAGTGCTGCGGTATGCCTTTAGTTGCAAGAGCACTAGGTGGCCTCTTGCAATGCAGTACAGATGTTAAGGAATGGAACCGCATATTATATAGCTTGCAGCTAACCCATGACAATATTCTCGTGGCTCTTAGATTGAGCTACCATTATCTCCCAAGTCATTTAAAGCAGTGCTTTGCTTATTGTTCAATTTTTCCAAAGAGTTACGAGTTCAAAAAGGAAGATGTGGCTTTACTTTGGATAGCAGAGGGTCTAGTTCCTCAATCTGGGGATGGGAAAAGAATGGAAGAGGTGGCTTTGCAATATTTTGATGAGCTGTTATCCCGATCCCTGTTTCAAAGGTCAGGAATTAAGTCATCAGTTTTCACAATGCACGATCTCATTAATGATTTGGCTATGTCCATGTCAAAAGAAATTTGCTGCAGACTGGAAGGGGAGGAATCAAACGAAGTTCCTGAACGTATTCGTCATATTTCTTATGTTAAAGAAGAATTTGACGTTGCCCCTAAATTTGAGTCATTATATAGAGCTAAGTGTTTGCGGACCTTCCTACCTTTGGCATCATTTTGGCATCGGCAAAATTTTATCAGTGAAAGGATTCCACTAGATTTGTTGCCAGCACTAAGAAGTTTGCGGGTGTTTTCATTGTCAGGTTATAAAAATGTCACTGAGTTGCCGAATTCAATTGGTAATCTCATAAGTTTGCGTTATATCAATCTCTCCCACACTGGAATCAGAAGGCTACCTGATAGAATATGCACTCTCTACAATCTGCAGACTTTACTGTTATCACACTGTTTCTCTCTCATTGAATTGCCTGCAGATATGCAAAAGTTGATTAATCTGCGACATGTTGATATTAGTGGAACTAACATAAAGGACATGCCATTGCGGATGGGTAGATTAAAAAGTCTGAGAAAATTGACCACTTTCGTTGTGGGTAAATCTACTGGGGCAAGCATCAGGGAATTGGGGGAGCTTTCATATATTGAGGGAAAACTTTCTATTTTGAAGCTACAAGATCGTGTCGATGCTGAGGATGCTTTGCAGGCCAATTTGAAGGATAAGAAGGGTCTCAAGGAGTTAACATTGGGGTGGAGAGATGGTGCCCGAATTTGTAAGGAGTACCACAATCACAGAGATGTACTTGACAAGCTCCAGCCGCCCATAAATTTGGAAAAACTGACCATCAAATTCTATGTTAGAAACCGCTTCCCCAGTTGGTTGGGAGACTCGTCGTTCTCTCATGTACAATTCATGCATATTAGTCAATGTAGTTGTCGGTCCTTGCCATCGCTTGGGCAGCTGCCAGCTCTCAAAGTGCTCTTTATAGGGGGGATGAATTTTCTTGCAAAAGTAGGTCCTCAGTTCTATGGCGACGGATCTTCTCTAATTCAACCATTCCAGCGTCTGGAGAAGTTGATCTTTATGGAGATGCCAGAGTGGGAGGACTGGCTACCAAGTGGAGGACAAAGTTCAGTCTTTCCTCGTCTCGAGGAGCTGGTTTTAAAGAAGTGTCCCAAGCTGAGAGGAAACTTGCCTAATCATCTTCCTTCCTTGAAAAAACTGTGTGTGTCCGGCTGTGGGGTTTTACATGAAAGGGCCACCACTACCTTTAATGTGGTGTTGCAACAATCTTTTGAAGAATTAACTCTAGATGGGTGCCCAATTCTGTTATCATTACTGGGTAAAGAGTTCCTGACCTCACTTCAGAAACTTGAGATTGGAAATATTGTCAATATAGAGGGTTTGCTCAATAACATGGTGCACAACAGCAATCATCTTCAAAAGTTGAGTATTTGGAATTGTCCATTCTTGACGTTGTTTCCTAGTGATAGGCTACCCTCAACATTGACAACACTTCATTTACAAGAGTGTCCATCCCTGTTGTCGTTCCCTAGAGATGGTCTACCCAGTATGTTGAAATCACTTGAAATAACAAATTGTAGGAAATTAGAATTTCTAGCTCATGAGTTGATACCGAAATTTCCCTACCTTACAGCTCTAAATTTATCTTGTAGCTGTGATTCACTAAGGTCCTTCCCGTTGGGCCTTTTTCCCCAACTGAGGGATCTTTCAATCCGGAGCTGTGTGAATCTTGAATCTCTTTCCTTTGAAGCAGTTGATGGAAAAATCAGCCATCTCAAATCCCTTTCAGTCTTCGGATGCAAAAATTTGAGGTCATTTCCCAAACAACTCCACGCCTTCAATGACCTTCGGGAATTGAGAATATCCGCTCTTCCAAACCTTGAGTCAGTTGCAGAAGAGGGTTTGCCTCTCAATTTAGAAGTCTTTGAAGTCTGTTATTGTGATAAACTCAAGCCTTCAGCAAAGTGGAGACTGGAAGAAAGCTTTCTTCGACAGTTTTCAATTGGTGGGAGGGGAAGCGAGGATCTCTTCGGGATGTTGCTGAAGGAAAAGCTGCTCCCTACTACTCTTAAAAATCTCTACATCTATGGACTACCTAGTCTTAAATCTTTTGACGGGAAGGGACTTCAGCACCTTACTTCTCTAAAGAGGCTACAAATTCATTGTTGTGATAATCTCGAATTCCTTCCAGAAGAGGGGCTGCCAATCTCTCTTTCTTTTCTAAGCATCGAACGGTGTTCTTCCCTGAAGAAAAGGTATCAGAATAAAAGAGGGGACGACTGGTCCAAGATAGCTGGCATTCCTTGCATAAAGATTGATGAGAAAGTGATCATATGAGCTTCTGGAGTACATTTTGGTTCTCATTTCTGCAAATCAAAGTCAGGTATGTAGCCTCACTTACTTAACTTCTTGTTCAATTGCCTATTCTTGAGTTACCTATGGAAATTTATAGGTTATGTAATCCAATTCCTTGTATTATTTAATTTCAGTTTTTGATGAAATAAAGCCTACTAAATGATCTTTCATCCATCGATATGTTAGTTGGACATACATGTTTCATATTTGTGAAGCGTAACATTATTAGCTAAGCAAGCTTTGACTCTCTGCTAGTTAAAACAAGAGTCGTGTAGCTGAAAATCGAACTTCAGATCTTCTCACATTGTAGCCTTCTTATATTTGAAGTGTAATGTTTAGCCTATAGTAATGTAAATCTCTTTGGTTCCATCATGAAGGTCTACTGAAAGTTAGGGTGGGTTTGGCACAGTTGACCTCTAAACAATAAGGGAAAAAGAAAGGATGTGTCAATTAAATTACTGCAATTTCCACGTAATATGCAACTGACCGTTGAGCAGCTCAGAATTGTCATTCTTATTTCTTACTGAGCTAAATCAACTCTGTTGCTTCAGTTTGAATTGGCATTATTGAGGCTTTTGTAGGTTATGCCATGTGTATCTGCAGAAATTTCACCTTGATTATTTAGACCTCTTACCAATATTATTATCAGTCATATGTTAACACTGCAATTTCAACTACTCTATCCTTTCATACATCTTTCCCTCCATTTTTTTTTACTAAAAGCCGGGACAATCTCCTGGGACTTATTTATGTGCGGGATTCGTTTGTGCAGAGAACCGGTGCAAAGATAGGTCTATCCAAGGGCAGCTGTTGTTGACAAAGTGGTCCTTGAATAGTGCTCAGGCATGAATATGATTCTCTGGCCTGCACGGGAAGAGTTAACCCGGTCCCTCGATGTTATTTTTCCTCATACTGCTGTTATTTGAATGCGGCTGGCGTGCCTTCTCGTCATTCTTCAATGTCACGGTAGCCACTGTCATTTTCTGGTTGGTGTTGGTGTAGACATGTTTTTCTGCAAGCCTATCGGTTGAAGATTGCACCTCGGCAAGCTTTAACTTACATTTTGTTTTCCTTTTTCATCATTTTGTAATTTGCTTTGTTGAGCTTATGAATCCTACATTAGGAATTAAAACCTTGTATAATAGTTTAAATGATATTGAACCTCTCCACTGATTGCTAATTGGTTTGAGGTTGGATGCTCACATTCTATCAGAGCAGGCTATTATTGTTGCGAAACTAATTTGAATACTGGCTCTGCGATGTCGAGCGATCTGAAAACTCTAACTGACGGATTGCGTCTGACGTGAAGGAAGCTCCATCGACCTTCTTATCGATTCCTTTATGAGGTTTTCTAGAGGGAGAGATTTTTCAAATGCGACCAAAATACGAGGATAGTACATTACTGTCATTATACAAATGGGATATGTGTGTTAAAAAGTTAATAACTTAAAAAATAAAATTTCTTACCACTTACATAAAAACACGTGGTGTACCACCCGTGTTCCCGTCACAATGAAAAATTTATCCCATGGAGGAATACATATGCAGGTAGGTACCAGTACTGTCATTAAGAATTTAGACAGAATCATCTGGTTAAAGAACATAAGGTCATCTCCAACTGAAAGGGATAAACATAGCCCTGTGTAAAAAATTATTTTTAAATGACTCTCAAGCAATAGTTACATATCATCTTCAACCGTTGAGGCTAAGCCCCTTTAATAATTTATTAGTTTTAAGTTTATATTTTAAATTTATTCGTTAATTTAATTAAACTACTGTTGGATATTTTCAAATTTAGCCGTTGAATTTGAATCAATTATTTCAATTGATGAGCTGAGCCCCAAAAAAACAAAGGCTAAGAGGGCTACATTTGACCAACTTGATGTTTCTTTAGCCAAATAATGATCTCATAGGCTCTATAGAATTATAGTTAAGCCGTCGGTTGAAAATGATTTTTTGGACCAAAAAAACAAAAAGAAAAAAAAATGTCTAATTGCTGTTCACATGCGTGATTAACATGTAAGGTCCACTGAAAGTCGCCTAAATTATTGACTTTAGTGAATAAGAATGACACTATGATTCACGTGTGGGGTCCACTACATTTATTGACCAAAAAAATATATCAAGTCGTCTCTTTCCGAAATGAAATTAATATTGTGTATGATAGGTAAAAAATAGGGTGTGATGAACAATAAATCTTAAAAATCTCTCGTTCTTTCTCATCTCAACATTTTTTTTTTTTGGATAAAAGTTATTATCTATGCTAAGGAGGTGAGAGAGTGGGTTAAGCTTCGTAATGGACTTACAATAATATGGTTCAAATTCGTTTTAGAAGATGATCACTTATAAATAAAGAGAAATATCAATATATCGCAGTATTAAGTGACATCCCAACACTTTTGAAAGAAGAAGAAAAAACATGGGGGAGAGAGGAGAGAGAGAGAGAGAGAGAGAGAGAGAGAGAGAGGCGAAATGGCAGGAGCTTTGATTGGAGAGACTTTTCTCCATGCTTCAATTCAGAGGCTTTGCGACAAAATCACAATAAGTTCACGAATCAATACTTTTGAATTTTTAATTAAAGTAAAAAATCTTCAATTGAGCTAAAATTTAAGAATTATTGCTCCAAGTTTCTCTTTAACCATAAATATAAGTATACTAAATGTAACATATTTAACACAAAGTGGATATATTTGAAAAATAAAATAATTAAACATGCTGACATGTAAATATTTTATTTATTAAAATAATAACGTGAATAAAAATCAAATGACCTTAATATAAATAAATTAAAGAGGAATAATATTTCAATCAATGAAATAGAAAAATGAGGGATGAAAATTTTTTTTTCCCTTTCCTGTCACGAAGGTGTTGATGGATTTCAAGTTTTGACATGTGAAATATGAAACCAACTTAACATATCCTTTGTTTGAACTTGCTTTAGTGCTTTCGTATAGGGCTGGGCACGGCCGGGCCGGGCCCAATTTTGAAGGAACCGGACCGGATCTAGGTTCAAAAAGAACGGGCCGGGCCGGGGATTGCATTTTCTAATATAAGAACCGGACATTACCCGGCCCGGTTGAAACGGGCTGGTTCGAGCCGGGTCCACGGGTCCTTTTTTTTTTTTTTTTTGGTTGTTTGAAAAAAAAAAAAAATTGTACGGATTGCAGATTGCAATCTGCACAAAAACTGCACAGATTGCAAACTGCACAAAACTGCACAGATTGCAAACTGCACAGATTGCAATCTGCACAAAACTACACAGAAAACTGCACAGATTGCAATCTGCACAAAACTGCACAGATTGCAAACTGCACAGATTGCACAGATTGCAATCTGCACAAAACTGCACAGATTGCAAAACTGCACAGATTCACATCCAATCTAAATACAAAGTCCAACATCCAAGTTCATAGATTAACAATACATCCAAAATAATAATATTACATCTTCCAACATCTAAAAATCAAATCAACATACAAAATATCCGAAAATCCAAGACATCCAAATTCTAATGCTTTTCTCATCTTGTTATTGTTTCATCGTTAATTGAGTACATCTCTTGGTAGTCTAGAATTTGGATTCTAACTCAAGTTACATTTCAGGTTGCATAATTTTTAACCAATAAAGCAATTAATAACAACTGAAAATGCAGAATGGGAAAAGTAAGAAACTACCCGTCTCTGATTAGCCTGTTTTCTTTCCTCGAACTGTAATTTCTTCCGCAATCTCGTAATGTACCTATCATGAACCTTCACAAGTGCAAGAAAAGTTCACTTCAATCACATCCTTTTTAGCACATACCAATTTACCAAATTATATTACATACCATGTTTCCCTTAACAGAAATAATCATTAAATAACACTGATAAAACGTATCGAAGGCGAAAGACCCTAATGCTGCGAGTTTCAAATGTATATATATGAAAGATGAATGAAAACAAAATGTAAGGGCATAAGTGAATGGTAACATTCTTACCAGGTAAAGATAAATGAGAGATAAAAAGTAGGCAACTGGGTGGCAGTAATTGTAGTGGGAAAGCAACCACAGCATGCATAACACAATCCCTTAACACTAACCCAACGAGCACAGCAGCGGAGTAATTCAGTCAAGTGGTTGTGAATCTTTACGCAGGGCCATAAAAATGAACAAAAAAAAAAAAAAAAAAAAAAATCCCAAACTAGAACTCCTTCCATCTTCTTCACAAGTTTTCTCGGGAAATAAAACATATCCTAACCTCAAAAACAATTCCCAAACCCCGAAACTTACAATCCCTATCAACAATCAAAAACCCCTACCCCTAATCAACACCAAAAAATCCCCAAAACTCCAATATTTCAAACAATCAACCAAAAATCCCAAAACCCTCCATATCAACCTAACAATCATACAAAAATGGACAAGAAAAAACGAATTTTAGCATGAATTTTCAATTGGGGTCAAAACGCAGACTGGGAAAAGCACACAGTCACAGAACCCACATGAATTTTCAATTGGGGTCTTGCTCACTTTGAGAACCCAGAATAGCATCTACAAATCTAATTAAAAAATCCTAAATTCCTAAACCAAAAATTCACATAAATAAAAATACCCTAATTCAGAATTTCCTAAATTTTAGCATGATGATGGTAGCAGTGTTCTCGATGGTGAATCGATGATGGTCTGGGACCTGGAATCAGAGGACTATGAGCACCCTAATTTAAGAACTCAACAAAACCCCTAAATCTAGAAAACCCTAATTTCATTTTGAAAATAAAAATGTAAACCCAGCACACCAATAACATTGCCCTATTCAATCAACCTTCACCCCAGAGAACTCACTCATCGCAAATCCAGCTCACCCCCAACACATTTCAACAGAGAAACCAAACTAAATCCCAAAAGAACAAAAACCCAGCTCCAAAAATCAAATAAAAACAGACCCAGATGACCATTTCAATCAAATCACAACCAAAAAAAAGCAAGATCCATGTGAAAATCGCAGCAAATGAAAGGAAGCAGAAGAAAATATTTACCTTGCTGGGTACACGAGTTGTTCGACTTCGTTGTTCGTCGGAGGGAGAGAAACTGATTTCCAGAGAGTGAGTCAGGAAAAGAAGATCGAAGCCTGATGATGATGGCAACGGACGGAGGGTAGCGATGTATGGAGCTAGGACGATCGGAGAGAGTTAGGAGGAGAGAGGTCTGAGTGAACTGTGAAATGAGAGGAGTCGGGAGGACCAGGAGGAAACAATTTCTTGATTTTCTTCTATTATTCATTCTAGAAACGGGCCGGGCCGGGGGCCCGTCCACTTCTATTTCAAGATCCGCCCCGCCCCGCTAATATGGTATACCCGAACCGCCCCGCCCCTAAGTTCACGGAAAACCGCCCCGCTAATAGGGCCGTTGATCCTGACCATTCACGGAAAACCGGAGGGCTCCAGAGTAGGCGCCTGAACGGGTACCCAAATATGCTATCAGCTGCCATTGTTTTTGTTTCTTTTCTCTGGTCTTCCTTTTTTGTGTTTGCTGTGAACAATTTTGAAGCAACTATAAGCTCGACGTTGATGATATTGATGGGGTTAGTCCTGGTATTGGACATCCGCAGAACCCAGAAGCTTCTACTCAAAACCTAGTTCTTATCCGTTTCAGTTTCCATGATACTTCTACAACATTCCAGTGCGTCTATAGCAGCCGTTGGATCAATTTGATTACCAAGGTCTCTGTCGTTTTTGGGTATTGGGCCATTGAGTTGGGTCTTGAGTAATAAAACATGTCATACTTTGCAAATTGCGTGTATTTAGTCACATAAAATTAACAAATTTGTTGACACTGGTTCTAATAAAAGTAACCCTATGTGATACTATACATATGTATTGTAGAGTGTTGTGTATTTAAATAACGAGCCATGTTGTCTTGGTTACTTGGTGACCTAAGATTCATAGCCATGAGAGGTATTTTTAGAGAGATTAGATCAGAAATATTTCCAATTTTCATTTTATAATTTCGGAATTGGATCAAAGTGGAACACAATTTTTAGATCCCAAACTTTAGGAAGTAATCTCAGAAATTTCCAAACATAATTATGAAATTCATATATTTTACAAGTATTTGAATATTCTCGAACTTTTTTGTAAATTAAATCTATTGTTCTTTCTTAATTTTTGGTATGTGCTTATGTATATATCCATTTACTTTTGAGGTATATTATTATGCCGATCATTTTAATGTATACGTGTATGATTTAAAAACAATGAATAAAATGTACCCAAAACTAGCAATCAAATACAAAAGTTGATCACAAAATAAATTTAAAAAATGGAATATTAATATTGGAATAATTTGAATTTTTTTTTATCCAACTAAGTTCGGAACACATCGGAAAATTTAAGATTGATCAAAATATCCAAATGCATTCGAATTTCCAATCCAACTTCGAGACTGGAAATTTTTCGGGTTCAGAAATTTTGGTGTCAAAATCAAAAACACAATCCCAACTTACACCTCTAATGGTAACTCACCCTTGCATTTGATATCAAATGTCCAAATTAAAATACTAAAAGCCCATTCATTTATTCTCCACTCTTGATATCAAAACTAAGGGTGAGTAATCATTTTTTTTATATAGAAATATATACAAGCAATATTCTATTTTAAACTAACATAAAGTGCCGAAAGGAGGTTCCGACTTGGGTGCATAGTGCAACACATCATCTAAATGTCAGTCATTTGTTTTCATAATGTTCGTAAATGAAAATATATTAACCTTCTTCTCTTTTGGGCTTTGTTCCATGTTACAGTTTTGTGTTGGTCTGTTGGCATGTTTATGAAAGATGAATAACACATCTAACCCCAGGCCGATGCCAGGAGGACAAAAAGGAGTAGCTCAAACAAACGAGAACAAAAACGCACAAACCTACCTGAAACTAACCGTTTGATTCAAAACACACTTTTTTCATGAAAAATGAAAACACGTGAACTTTGAAGCATCACACACTTTTTGTGGTTACACTGCGAGGGAATGAAAAACATCTATTTAAGCTATGTAGTTTTTAGTATTTACTGTGAGATTGAGAATATCCAGACTTCCCAAGTTTTTGCCTTGTTTCTTCTTCTTTTTTTCCTTCTCAATGTTTGCATCTCTCTCAATTGCGACAAATGCAATTATCAAGCCATGAATCAGAAGACTTTCTAAACATAAAAGAAGGGTGACAATTAAAGGTGTTACCTCTACAGGAAAACTTTTGATCTCAAGGGTTATCGCACAGATAGGTTACTCACATAGAAGAATATGATGTCAATTTTTTTTTTTTTGTACAAGTTGTTATAACTTGTACTATACAAAACAAGATAAGTAGTAGCACAATTTGTGCTTTACTTCTCTTGTTTTATGTAGGATAAGTTATAACATCTCATAAGAAAAAAATTGGCCTTCATATTGTTTTTTGTGGGCGTCCTTCTATGAACTTTTGAGATCAAAAGTCTTCTCAGGATAGCACCCATAGGTGGCTAGTGGCTACTTGTACGCGTTTCAGTCGGATATGTTTAGTTAAGTCTTTATTGTTCTTTGCTTCGTAATCGCATTTTTCACAGTTGATGGACATCTTAAACATTACCAAAAAAAAAAAGAAAATCAAATGAAATTAAGCAAAAGACAGCTGAAAATTAAAAAAAAACATGAACTTTTTTATAGATCTGAAATGCAGAAAATGCGAGAATAGGTAGATAGCAATAAGATACCAACTTTACTAGATTGATACCAACTTTATAGTTAAGTCTTTATTGTTCTTTCTGCGTATAATGATTCAATTCAAACATAATGTGAAATCCTATTCATACTCTTTGAGTTGTTAAAAAGGATGATGAGTAGCTTTTATAGGCATTGATGCATTGTTAATGTCTTATTAAAAACATTTTTATTCGAATAAGCACAAGGCAAGTTTAGAGGTCCTGAGTTAGAATTCTCATGATCACACACATATGTGAGTTACTTATTTGAATGTGATTGCGCATATTGAGTACTTACCTTTAAGTACTGTACTTTGACGAAGGAGAGAGGGGTGAAAAAGGTGAAATTTTTCTTCCTTTTTCTTGTTAACTTTTTCGGTAATATGGAGGAAAAAGAGAAGAGAAACACTAAGAAACAACTAGTCTAGCTCTAGCGACATGCCGACATCAGAAGATATATGCAGTCATCGAAAAGAATTTCAACAACTAGATTTTTTGTTAACTTTGACTTAATAGCGAAGTTGTTTAAATTATACAATACTTCATCACTAAGAAACCATACAAAAATGAATTATATATAAGGGGACATTTCAGAAAGCACAAAACAATTACATACAGAAAAAGAAATCACAAAAAGGAAAGATCATCTGCCCTTTTACAAAAGAATATGCCTCTTTCTTTTTTTTCATATTAGACAACACACTTTTGTTAAGTGGAGAGGAGATTGGAATCTTTAGCCTTTTTTTTTTTTTTTCTCACTCTCCATTTAACTTTGATTTTAGGTAAGCACCCGTCGTACATATTTCCATCATAATTTCCATGAACTCTACTTTTGGAGAGAACATAAAGTAATTAAATCAAAGAAATTAAAGCATAAAGAGAGGGAGGAAGTGGACATAATGAAGAGAAAAGATAACCAAAAGCAAGATCACTTGCGAAGCCGATAACTTTGCATGCTCATTATTTATTTACCTGCACAGAAAGTAACAGCCAGAAAATTTTGTTAAGATATATCCCTGCATATACGGTATCTACTTTTCTGGTTCTAAAGCTAATGAAGATTAATAATAAATATGAACCATGAAATAATTTTTTTTATAAAAAAAAAGTGAAATTAAGGTAAAATAAAGACAATCAATTGAAGATTCTACGTACCATTGCCCTCAGAAATCCTTCTCATGAAAGTAACAAAAACAATGAGTAGAGCAACTCCAGCCAATAATCCAATTATCACAGCAAATGTCTTCTCACCATCATTGATGGATTTATCTGCCATTCATTGTTGAATTTAGAAAAGAAAGAGTAAATCCACAAAATAATGAATTCTATAGAAACTTAGTCGATCGAAAACATGTTTACTTAATAGAAATAGGAGAAGGATCAAAGAACTTAGAAATAACGGGTACCCGTCCCTACCCGCGGGTCCAGGATCCGTTTGCCCAACCCTAGCATGGACCATTGCTCCAAGCCTCCAACTCTCTTTAGTCATAAATATAAATATACCAGATATAACATATTTAACACTAAATGAATATATTTAGGAAATAAATTTAAACATGCTGATATGTAAATATTTTATTATTAAAATAATATCGTGGATACAAAAAGAACCTTAATAAAATATTAAAAAGAAATAAAATTTCAATCAATGAGCTAATTTCTCTCCTCTTTTTTTTCACGAAGGTTGTAACATCCCACATCGTCCAGGGGAGTGCATCTTGTAAGCCTTATATGTATATTTCCATCTCTACCTAGCACGAGGCATTTTTGGAGCTCACTAGTTTTGGGTTCCGTAGGAACTTCGAAGTTAAGCGAGTTCGCGCGTGAGCAATCTCAGGTAGGGGTGGGCACGGGCTGGGTTGGGCCTAAATTTAAAGGGACTGGACCGGACCTGGGTGCAAAAGAGACGGGCCGGGTTCACGGGTCCTTGGTTTTTTTTTTTTTTTTTTTTTTGAAAAAAAAAAACTAGAATTTGCATAGATTCACCAGTGCAGCAATTTATGCAATAGGAAACCCAGATAATGCAAGAGGAAAGATTTCGAAAAATTTCCAATTCCAAATACATCCACTTCCTTATAAAATCTTGAGCATAAACATCTCTGAACAAAGCATATCAAGACTTAGTAGATCAATACGCACAACAGAAACCCAAATAATATAATCCACAGAAAATGGAAACGCATAGCGAAATTAACAAAGTTTAAATATTTAGCAAGTCATTAAGTATATAGGCATCACAAGAAATCCATGATAAATACGAACAGATCTCGATATGAAAGCCCTAATACGAAGCTAAGAGTGACCTAACACACATGGAGAGATCAGTACTCTTCGGCCTTAGCATCCTCACTGGCGGCAGCAACGGTAGATTCCACCGCAGAGCTTGCGGTCTCAGACTCCGTGGTGCCGTTTTGAGCAGCGGAAGCAACGGTGTTCCTAGACTTGACGGTGTTGAGCATGCGTTTGCTAATCTCCTTGGAGTAACCTGTAGGATCTAAACCCCTTCCTCCTCGATGAGGGGTGGGGACGACGCACTCGAGACGGCGAAGGAAATGTGACAAATCGAGAAGATGGTGGTGGGGGTGGCTGGGTTCTGTAAGTCTGGGTCCTTGGGATGTCAAATCGAGACTGGCGAGAGAGAGGTGACAAATTGAGAATATGGTGGTCGCCTGGGCCGTCGTGTTGTCGGGGTGGTGGAGGGAAGGGGACGACGAACTGGAGACGGTAAGAGAAACTCGATCAACAGAGTGAGAGTGACAATTGAATTTGATAGGCTTGAGGACGAGCAAACCTAAAACCAACAATTCAAATTGGATGAAGAGATGATCTCTTCAATCTCATCTATCCATTCTAACTACAAACGGGCCGGTCCGAGTACCCGTGGTTCCTATACTTCAGGACCCGGTCCGAACCGAAAATTTCAAAGGCCCGCCCTGCTCCGCCCTGTTTCTGTTTTTACAAAATAGGATCCAGCCCGTACTCGCCCCGAACCTTATTACCCACCCCGACCCGCGGTTCCTGTACCCGTTTGCCCATCCCTAATCCCAGGATGGGTGACCCACTGGGAAGTTCTCGTGTGAGTTCCCAGAAACAAAATCATGAGGGCGTGATTGGGGCCTAAAGCGGACAATATCGTACTACGATGGAGTCGAGCTCGAGATGTAGTGGGGGCCCGGGCCGGGATGTGACAAAGGTGTTGAGGGAATTTGAGTTTTCACATGTGAAGTGTGACACCAATTTAACGTATCCTTTTGTTTGAGCTTGCTTTAGTGCTTTTATTTTATATATGACTTCTAAATAAGAAGCTGTTGTGTTGAGAAAGTACGTGTGGGGTCCCCCGTAAGTCACCTAACCCACTCTTCGAATTTGGATTCTCTCAGGATATTCTTCGTGAGGATTTAGAGATTTGTAAATATTATCTGTTTATTTTATATCATGCGATGATAAATTATTTTAATTTAAAATTAAATAAAAATAATATTTGACGAAAATAAATTATATTATTTATAATGAATTGATACGATTTACAGATTCCCGTAATCTTAGCAGAGGATTTGGAAAGGATCGGTTGGCCACTCTACCCCTCTCACACCAACCAACAGACTACTGAAATGGGACACAATGATTAACGTGTGGGATCCACTTAGTTATTGACCAAAAATATATCAAGTCCTCTCATTCCGAAAAATTTCTCTTTTCTCAGAAACGACAAACTTGCCGATGTGTCACCACACTTCCATAAAGCATCCTACACCTTAGCTATCATCATTATGTCTGGAGCCATAATGACTTCCACCTCTTTACTAGCACCTAGACTCTAGCCATATTGACTTTCAAACAAAATGCAAGGACAGCTTAGCCTTCACAATACAAAACCTACGTGGCTTTCATACAGACACAAGTAAAACTAAAGCATTCAATTTTTGTTAGAGATGTCAAAATGTTCACAACAGCCCTAATGATAAATAAAAAATTGCATTAATATTCTCCAATCGCAATATCAATTATGTAGTGATGACATGGACTGGCAACAGAAAAGTTGCTATGTGGCATTTTGATATCTTTAAAATTTTGAACATAAAATTTAAGTTTAACGGCCAATGTGGCAAAACATTCTATTTTATCTTCCATTTATTGTTGTGCAAATGATTAAGTTAAGACAATATTGGTGCGATTATCAGTGGGCTACATACTTGACTATGAAACATTGGCAAAACATTTTATATTAGCTTCCATACACCAAAGTTTGCTCAATGACGCACCTAAGAAAATGTTTACGTCGTTGATACCCCTGAGAAGCATGAAAAAGAATTAAAATTGTTTTGATGTATTCTAAAATCACACGAATAAAACTTGCACAAATAATTACGTTTTGGTTGAGCTCCCCTTTGTATTCCAAAATTTCCATTTTCAAGTAATTAAACCTACTTACTCATTAAGTCTAACAACTTGTAATATAACTCTAATCTATTAATTAACCAGGTCAATGTAATTGCCTTTCGAGAAATGCTAAAGAGATTATTTTAAAAGTATTACTCTATAAGATTTTTTATCACCTTATATTTTAAACATAATTTTTATACCTACGTAAGATCCATATTATAAAATATTATATAAAAAATAAGGTAGCGGATAATAAAAAATTCCATTTTCAGAAAGAGTTCTTAGCATTTTTTTATTGCCTTTCACATGCATGCTTGATAAACGTGTGGGGTCCGGTGTAAGTCACCTAACCCACTCTCCAAATCTGAATCCTTTCAAGATATTCTTTGTGAGGATAATTCATGAATCTTGTTAATTTATCTTACCGATTATAAATTATTTTAAAATTTTTATTTAAAATTAAATATAAATAATATTTGACAAAAACAAATCGTACAATTTACAATGAATATATACGATTCACGCATTTTTGAAATTCTCACAGAAGATCAGGAAACGATATGTTAGCCACTCTATCCCTCTCCCCCTCTCATGCCAACCAACAGACTAATAAGATCAGACACTGTGATTAACGTGTGGGGTCCACTTAGTTATTGACCCTAAATATATCAAGTCGTCTTTTGCCGAAACGAAATTAAGCTTATCCAAAATCCTAAAAGTCTCTTATTCTTCCAAACCTGAAAGGGCACTCCTTTGAAGATAAAAAAGAAAAGAAAAACAGAGAGAGAGAGAGAGAGAGAGAGTGAAATAGCAGGAGCTTGGATTGGAGAGGCTTTTCTCACCATTTCTGTTGTCGTTCCCTAGAGATGGCCTACCCAGTACCCACTAAGTTGAAATTACTTGAAATAACAAATTGCAGGAAATTAGAATTTCTAGCCCATGAGATGATACCGAAATTTGCCGAGCTTGAAACTCTAAATATATCTTGTAGCTGTGATTCACTAAGGTCCTTCCCGTTGGGCCTTTTTCCCGAACTGAGGGATCTTTCAATCCGGAGCTGTGTGAATCTTGAATCTCTTTCCTTTGAAGCAGTTGATGGAAAAATCAGCCATCTCAAATCCCTTTCAGTCTTCGGATGCAAAAATTTGAGGTCATTTCCCATACAACTCCACGCCTTCATTGAGCTTCGGGAATTAAGAATATCCGCTCTTCCAAACCTTGAGTCAGTTGCAGAAGGGGGTTTGCCTCTCAATTTAAAAGTGTTTGAAGTCTGTTATTGTGATAAACTCAAGCATTCAGAAAAGTGGAAATTGGAACAAAGCTTTCTTCGACAGTTTTCAATTGGTGGGAGGGGAAGCGAGGATCTCTTCGGGACGTTGCTGGAGGAGAAGCGGCTCCCTACTACTCTTAACAATCTCTACATCTATGGATTACCTAGTCTTAAATCTTTAGACGGGAAAGGACTTCAGCACCTTACTTCTCTAAAGAGGCTACAAATTCATTGTTGTGATAATCTCGAATTCCTTCCAAAAGAGGGGTTGCCAATATCTCTTTCTTTTCTAAGCATCGAACGGTGTTCTTCCCTGAAGAAAAGGTATCAGAATAAAAGAGGGGACGACTGGTCCAAGATAGCTGGCATTCCTTGCATACAGATTGATGGGAAAGTGATGAAATGAGCTTCTGGAGTCCGTTTCGGTTCTCATTTCTGCAAATCAAAGTCAGGTATGTTGCCTCACTTGTTTAATTTTTGTTGTAAATTGCCAATTCTTCAGTTACCTATGGAAATTTCTAGGTTATGTAATCCAATACTTTTATTATATAATTTCAGTAAAGCCTACTGAATGATCTTTAATTAAATTACTTCAATTTCCACGTAATATGCAACTGAATTTAATCAACTATGATTGTGTCAGTTTAAATTGGCATATTTTAGGCTTTTGTAGATTATGGCATATATATCTGCAGAAATTTCACCTTGACTTTTATATTCTTACCAATATTATTATCAGTCATATATTAACAGTGCAATTTCAACTACTCGTATCCTTTCATACATCTTGCCCTCTAATTTTTACTAAAAGTCGGGACAATCTCCTGGGACTTATTTATGTGCGGGATTCATTTGTGCAGAGAACCGTGAAACTGTGCAAAGTTAGTGGTCCTTAAATGGTGGTCAGGGATGAGTATGATTCTGCGGCCTGCATGGGAAGAGTAAACTCGGTCCTTCGATGTGATTTTCCCTCATACTGTTGCTATTTTCTGGTTGGTGTTGGTGTAGACATGTTTTCCTGCAAACCTATCAGTTGAAGATTGCACCCCGGCACGTCGGCAAGTTTAATTTACATTTTGTTTTCCATTTTCATCATTATTTAAATCGCTTCGTTGAGCATGTGAATCCCACATTAGGAAATTAAACCTTGTATAATGGTTTAAATGATTTTGGACCTCTCCACTTATTGCTAATTGGTTTGGAGTTGGATGTTCTCACATTCTACTCTAGTAACACATATATTCCCCTTTAAGACATGCAACAAGTCTTATTATACAGTGTCGAAATTTAGTTTAAAAAGCTGCGACAGTTTGGTGTAAAATTCCTTTATCAACCTGGAATCACGTTTAGCTCTTTAGCATTTTGGTTGGTTGGTGTAAAACTAATGTGAATACTGGCTCTGCGATGTCGAGCGGTCTGAAACTCTGACCGAACGGATTGCATCTGACGTGAAGGAACCTCCATCGACCTTCTTATCGATTTCCTGTGGGAGGTTCTCTGGAGGAATACATGTGCAGGTAGGTACCAATACTCTGTCATTTAGATTGTAGACAGAATCATCTGATTAAGGAACAAAAGTTGGAGCTTGAAGGCTTCTTTGTAATGTTATGTGTACACTCCCTCAACGGGAAGTGGAAGTCCTTGTCCCTATTATTCTTATTCGGTTCTTTGCTTGATGTACAGTTAGATAGAAACTAAAGGTTGAGTATGATTTTGCTCGGTAAACATTCCTTCTGTATGTTCATCTTTATATAGAGGTTACAAAGGAGAGTTTGATGTTGAACAAATTCTTGTATAATAAACAGATAATACAAGTGATAATTACATTAATCCACAATACAAAATTCAAATAAGATCGCATCTAGGACTGATCAGCATCTTTGAAAGAATCTTGCATTTGTTGCGGCTTATGTTGGCAAGAGGAAATATTTGAATTTCCTTTTGACGGCCTGGATGGTTTTTCACGGTTATATCAAGGTTCTAAAAAACGTTAGTCAGTCAGCGGGCAAAAGAAATGCGTTTAAGTTGGGATTTAGACGGTTTTTTTTTTTTTAATTAAATTATATAATATAGTATATAAATAAACGTCTCTTATATTGCAAACGTGGGGAACAATCATTTAATAAGTGTTTATCTAAGTATTTAATAAGTCTCTTAAATTTATTGAAAAAATAAAATGTAAAGCGAAAGTTATCCATTTTATGTCTAGATGAGAGTCGCGATCTAAGTGGGTCTAGGCTGTCGCTAGGTAGGTCCATGTACTATTTCTTAATTTCAAAAGCCTAGAAATTAATCGTAGTGGTGGCTAGCTGACTAGCGCCTAGACGGAGATTTTTAGAACAGTGAATTATACACATATTTAACTCGTAAGTTATGTAAATCTAACAATTTCACATTTTTGGTTAAAGCTGTAATATAATTTGTTTAGCAAGTAAGTTGAACTACTCTTCATATTGCCAATATGAAGTTCAATGACCACATTGCTCCACGTTATCCAATTTGTATTGCCCACATGTTAAGCTTGAAATTCGACACACATGTATGAATCTCACATCGGAGAAAAAAGAAAATTTGCATATCCAATATCTTAGTGGATAGGATATTGAGTTTCACCCATGCATCTTTAGTTCGAAACTCCACCTCTCCATAATTGTTTGTAACAGTTTCAAACGTTCTGGGTTTCTTTAATAAAAATAAATAATTATAAAATAAGTAAGTTAAGCTGCTCTCAAAAGTAATTTACATTTTCATTGGATGCTCACCACAAATAAAGATGCCCAGATGCCCATACTCTCAAAAGTGGAGTACAAATCATTTGCAGATGTATCCCACTAAGTTAATCATTGGCCCCACTACACGTCTTGATTTGGTTTGGTATGATTTAGTTCTCGCCGGCCACACTACATGTATGTATTGTTGCGAGACGTTTTGATTCAACTAGAAATTATGCCCGCGCGTTGCTGCAGGAACCAACTGTTTCAGGCGTAATCGGATGAATAAAACATATTTAAGTTGAATAAATTCAACACAATTATGAACAAACAAAATGATACATGAGTGAATGAGGTTGATAAGACGAACAGTTTTGCTTTTATATACATTCAAGTGAGCTGGCATATAAACACAGTGTACAATGAATGAGAAGAAACTGAACGTCTTTGATTAGAAAGATATAGTTTCCAAAAAAGTTCTGTTTCCTTAAGAAACAGAAGAAACACATAGTTCACACATAATATGTGTCCTGCAGTGTAGGCAACCATTTCAACAGGTAATGGCAAGAAAAGAAATTAAAATATTAGGCATATGAATGCAAGCTTACAGAAACTTTGTTTTTGTACACTTTCTTCTCCCTTCAATGACAATTTGTTTCTTATCCAGAAAAATAAAATGAGCAGGTCAATGATACTCACATGCGCAAAATGCTAATCCTATGGTCTAAAGCTAACTAAGTTTATAAGTGTAAAATCAATAATTTCATTGTATTTGGATTGATCATAGTTTGTGACTTGTTAAACTTGATATCTCCTTGTACACTTTGGGAACTTGACAGCTTAAAGAAGTGCTCATAAAAGCAAATTACACAATATCTACTGAAAAACTTAAGAGAATGGACTCAATTAGTCAACAAACAGGTGTCTCACACATAAATATTAAAGACCAAAGAGAGAAAACCCAGCCGAACTCTTCAAAATTCGTTGGCACACATGCTTCATTGGCTCAATTGAATGTATAATGCATACTTAGATACAACAATTCGAGCAATAGCTCAGAAACAGTGCTGAAATTCCATTAGCACTAATCACACACTGCCGGAACAGAGATCCTAGCAAAGCTATACCAATTAAATGACAAAGACTAAAAACCACAAACAGGAAAAAAAGAAAAAGAGTTATCAGACAGCATGATTCAAATATAATTTTATTAGGGTTGGTAAAAGCACAACCCATCCAGCACTTAGAACACACAGTGGGATTTAAAAGCAGGTCTTTCTTGATTAGAAGCTCATATGTCTTGCACCTAATTTTCAAACACTCAAGCGTCAGTGTCTTAATACTTCAAACCCACAGTCCAAAACAGAAAGAACCTCATTTGATGAAAATGCCAAAATTTTCTAAGAATGGAGTCCAAAAATTTATAACATCAACCTCATGCGGGGACTTGGCTAAAATTTATTTTTAAGCATCCAAAAAGCCATTAAACTAAACATAGTTAGTTCTTCGTACCTTTGTATGAAGATCACACAGGAAAACATAATGCATTGCTACATGCTAGGTTGGAATTTCGGGGGCTAGATTAGAGCCACACTTGAGTTCGACATCGAAAGTGAGGCTTCGCTGGTGTGTTTCCACACCACATGCTCTCCAAAAGAGACAATCTCAGAATCAAAAACACATAAATAAGAAATATACACTATATATATATAGCAAGAGAAACTTAAGAAATGAAAAGTTCAATCAAAGTGAGTGAAGTGAACCTTTTTTCTTTTTTTAACCCAAAGCATTGAAAGTAGAACAAACCATTCTTTTGTCCTCTTTCTCCCCTCTTCTTGTGTCCCCCACTCTTTTTCACCCTTTGAAACAATAACTGATAAGGAAAAATAAAAAATTACTATTGAATAATCTAACAAATCATTTAGCACCATCGGTTGCCAACTTGCAATCTTGAGTCTGCTAACATTCCAAAATTATTATCAGCAAGTCTCCATATAACCTTTTTGATTTGCTTCTTTTCCTCCTATTTCCCAACCAACAACACATTTCTTATCATCTTTCTTCTTCACATATATGACAATAAACAAAAAAAAAAACAATGTGCAAAAGATACAAAAAGTAACAATAGCAACTTCATATTTACCATTTACACTTGTAGTAAAATCTCAAAATATTTCATAAATATCATATGAAATGCACAATGTTACAAATAAAATTGATTAATTAGCACACCAAAAAAAATGATAGTGGAGAACAGGAAATAACTATAAAAAATTAAAAATGTCAATAGACCAGGAGAAAACTACTTTAAACAAAATGAAAACTCAGAATTTAGGATAAAACGAAGGAAAGAAATCAAACAGAAAAGAAGACAAAAGAGAAGTAAAAAATTAAAGCAAAATACCTGAAGCTTGGTGAGATTCAAGCTTCGAACTAAAAAAAAAAACATTCAGTGGTCAACACCCAACCACTAATTAATTAAGTGGTGATCATGAACATGTGAATAAAATTGTAGAGGTTAATTATACGGAATCTTACCGCCAAAAAATAAAAAATAAACTAATTGAAATTATGTGTTGTGCACAGTGATATCGAAGAAGAAGAATTTCTATTGAAATTACAGATTTTCAATCAAATGCGGAATATACAAAGCAATTTTATTTCTGATTTGAATATAACCAACTAAATCCCACGTTGTATCAGTATCAATGGATCCAACATGGTGACCATCTGCCCCTCAAGTATTCATATCTGCAAACCCTCGTCTAAAGAAAAATTCATCCAGAAATTAATCACTGAGTACGCAAGGTTGGCATGCATATTCACATTTAATCGTGGCCATGATGATAGGAATTAAAAAAATACGAAAACAGGAATGATGTACCTTTACTTAGATTTCAGGATTCTAAAACCTGTTGCTGAGATTTGAGAAACATATGAAATGTGTTTCATGATTTCAAATTAGATTTGCATAAGAGTTCAGAAACGCAGACATCCCTTCTTTGCATTCCCCTAAATGCTAAACGCTAAACCCTAAACCCTAGGCTTTCAACACCAAAACACCCAAATAGTACCAGAATTTTGCAATGTGCAGGGAATATACTAAAAAAACTTAAACCACAATCAAGCACCATCTATCTAAACAAAATCAAAGAATCCAAACCACATACAAAATCTCCAAAATCAACTTACCCAACCCCTAAATATATAATAATAATAATGATTCTAGTAGAAATTCCAATCCACTACAACAAAACACAGAGCTAAAACAACAAAACACAGAATACCAGGTATTGCTGGATGTAGATATCCAAAACAGCAGCACCCATCAATTGATCTAATTACGTATCCATTCCCTATCCATGGCATACAAAGTATGTACTCCCTGTTTACATGTTATAAAACATTTAGTAGACCAGCAATCAAAATTAACAACCCTAATTGTTGTATACACCAAGCTCTCCAACTGAAAATGTTTAATTAAATTTTCCAACTTAAAACCCTAAATTAAATTCTACAAATTGAAATAGCAGAAACAGAATTAGAGAGAAGGAAGAAATCACTGACCTTCGAGTTGTTGAAAGCTCTGATGGATGTTTCTTTTCATCCAGCCCTAAAAACAGAACCCATAGTTGTAATATAATATCCAATCATTGGTCAAGAATCAAATTAACCCAGCCTGTGTATAGAAAAATTGAACAAATTTAGACATTTATATGTATGTATATTCCAGTAAATGCACTGAACCCTAAATTGCAAAACTACGTCAGACTGATTCAAGAAGAGAAACAGAGAGGGAGAGGGAGAGTGAGTGGGACGGAGAGAACCCTAAAAACAGAACCCTCTGGCAACCTAATACAAAATCAAGCCAACAAATTCCATTTCAATTTTGACAAAACAAATCGAAAAAGAATAATGAAAACCAGAACGAATTACAGAGGAACTGATGGGTTTATGCATCAGCAACGTGATAAAACCCAGAAACACAAAACATAATATGTATCAGCTAAAAAAACCCAAATAAATAAATAAAACACTCAAATTTCTATGTAAATCCTATCTCTCTCTGCAATTCCTAAAACAAATCTCCTAAATCCTATCTCGGACACCCCCATCTCTCTACAAATCGCACATACAAAACCCCAAACCTAATCCTTGAAATCCCACCCAAACCTAATCCCTGAAACCCTTTCTCTCGGACACCCCATACCACAGAAATGAATCTGAACTTTAGTTAATAAAATCGCAGGCCGCCTTCTCTCTTCCGACCTTTTAACAATTCACCAGTAAGATTATCTCAATAAAAACTTGTATTAGCAAATCCAGTGACGAATGATGTGAAACTAAAGCTGTGAAAGCTTATTTTGAGAAAGAATGAAAAGCCGTCTTTCTACAACTTGAAACCAAAATTCAAGTGAATGGCCCTGTAACCAAGGTTATTGAACATGATTAACTATCCGCAATATGACGACTATCCGCTACCCTCAACCTTGTAACCTGAATCAAGCTGGTTTCACACATACCAATGGAAAACCAAAATATCAATGTTTGGGGAAGTTACCTTATTTGAAATACCACTAAAAAACAGAGTATACTTTTAGGCAAACATAATTCATGATATGTGCCAAAAAGAAAATACCTCTCGATTAGATTTCTATCGTTCACGAACTTTCTCCCTGACAAACTCCTGAGATAAAACCAAAAAAGAAAATAAGTCACAACTGATGCAAGTAGAGGGGAAGGAGGCAGAGAAAAGTAGGAATTTATGAGTACACCACTCCTGTTTTAGGTTCCCAACTTATAAGGATGCTAACTTCATCATATAGGACTACCGTTAAAACGCATTTCTTTCCGAAATTAAATTAAGAAAAAAGTTCGACACTCACATGCCACAACACAATGTTACATAAAGTAATCTTACCATCACAACCAAATTGACACAAAACTTCAAACAGTCCTTTTGAAAGCGAAAGTCAAGCGATTAATCAAATACTCATTTTCCGAAAAAGAAAAAACCCAACAAAAATATATAAAAAGTAAAAGTACCTAAGTTCCCAATAGTCCAATCCATCAGAAAAATACAAACTTAAACATGTTTGAGTATAAGGACCATAAGAAAGAAGCAGGGGATGCAAAATTTTGAGAATGGGTCTAATAATACTCATCAAGTACAGATAATCAAAGTTAAAAGGAGGTAATAAAGGTATAGAAAAAAGAAGAATATATTCTACAAATGAATGAAACAAAAGATGGTGACACTGGAATGGAAACACTTCAGGAGGCCAGAGGAAGAGGGACAATACTATAGCAAATAAATTGATAATGCTTGTGCTCTCCTCTGTTCTTTCCCAAGTCGATCCTACAAACAAAAGCACAGACAAAACTTAAAAAACGATGCCAATCAATGACAGCTAAATTATCCCCATCCTGAATCTTTTATAAAACAAAGCACCAAGAAGATTTCAACAATAAATATTTCATACGACATTTAACATAACAAATATATTAACTTTAGATTCTAGACTTCAAATAGTTAACATAACAAATACAAATTTAACCATCATCTCTCTTATCCATTGCCTTTTCTACTATAAATGAAACCGGATATTAAATAACTGACCATTTTACATTGGCAGATTGCAATTTCTTTGGAAATTAGTCATAAAAGTTAATACATTTCATCACTCCATTTCTGACTTATCCTCTTATCAACTGTCGTGCACCCTAATCCAAAGAACGGAAATTTACCCGCCAAATATCAAACTGGATATCTAATAACTGGAAATTTTCCATTGGATATCTAATAAATTTCAATTACTCAATTTCTATGCAACCCCAAATCCAAATACCGTCTGTTGCTCCAAATATCAATGCAAAGATGCAAACTTTTTTATGCTACAAAAACCAAGTAAATAAGCAGATTTTTGGCAAAAGCGCTTAAAATACACTCACCAGAAGCAAAAGTGGAGGATGGGATTGAAGCCATTGCTGTGGTCCTCCTAGAGCTACAGCTTAACATCTGACACAGCGGTGTTGGCGGAGGAAGAGGCAGCGCTCTGGACAATCAGACCTCTCTGGCGGCGGTTGTGAGGCAGTTGAAATCTACCGGCCTCGGTTTATCCATTGCTGTTTGTTTTCATTGGATCTCCCATTCGGTCTCACTGTTGTTATATCCGTTTCTGTTCTTCCTTGTAAATCAGGATCTGCACCCCTGAAAACCCACAAAGACATTAGAAATGGAACCCACTGCATATCTTATGAAAATAGCGTTGAGCCTTGAGGTGTCCTCACAAACCTAAGGTATGGCGCAATTGGAGTTTTCGACAACATGAGGAAATGTGTAACCCCCATAGGCCCAGCCACATTAAAAAAGTCTCTAAGATTGTTCCGCCTCTTCTCCTGCAAAAACATTGCGGAAAAAGCTCAGCTCTTTACTTCAGATTCTTACTTCTCATTTTCATCAGCTCTTCAAATCAATTAAAATATAAACAAATCAAATATCATAAAGCATTGCAAAATATATTAAGACCAGAACGAATATTTGCATACCTTAAGCTTAAAGGCAGTGTAGGGAAGCACCAGTTTCCTCAAATCAGCTTGAAGCTGCTTTAGAGGACCAGGCAACTTGCATCTGGAAAACACAAACCTCATTGGGATTTTATCCCCTGTGATATGGTCCATATTAGCCTGCTTCTTCGTCGAAACTGACTTCACAAACACGTTCTTCTTCTGTTTTCAAATTTTCAGAAACACAACAATCAACTACGTCTCCAAGATAATTAACAAAACAAAACAAACAAACAAAAAAACCTCTTTGATTCAGTTTTCCAACAACCAAACAGAACCTAAAAATTTCAAGCTTACATTTTTTAAGGCAGCCATGATAGCGTTTGCAATTTCAGCTCCGTAACTTTGTGATTAATACTGCAAAAAATTAAAACAAAAAAATTAAACGCATTTAGAGTAGAGAGTGAGTGAATTTATGCTAGGTATTCGTCAGATAATTAAAACTAATTGAAAAATTAAACAAAATTACCTTTGGGCGTTTAGGGTTTTGGGGTATCTCTGTCTCTGTGTGAGGTTTTAGACGAAGGAAGGAGATGATTGAACGCGCGAGGCAAATTAGGTTTGTTTATTAGGCGCATCCGAATCGTCTAATCATACTAAGGAAATCAAGATGCATCCAGAACACATACAGTCAAACTGGAATGCGCAGGGAGAAGCGGAAGAAGAAAAAGAAGATCGACAGGGGGTAATTGATAGCTTACATGACACTGGTCGTGGTCGGAGTTGACAAAAATCAACGAAGTCCTGTGCGATTTCATCGTTGTGAGCCGTGAGAGAGAATACGATGGTCACATCACGATTTTATCACCAGAAGGTCGACTGTTCCAAGTTGGAAAACAGAAGAATTAAAATTCAAGAACAATAAACTAACAGAAACCAATTACAGATGAGGAAACAATCAAATTACCTCAACAAAAATCCATGATTATTCCATGAGTGCTGATTCTATGGGTTTTGAAGGGGGAAAGTTTTTTTATTTGAGATGGAGAATGTTCGATCTGGGGATTTTAGGTGAGCAGATGGGATCTGAGGGAGAGAGAAAGGGGAGGAAGAGAATGGTAAAGTGACGATCGCACCCTGCCTTTCCACGATCATCAACACGCAGGTATCATGATCAACGGCAGAGAGAGTCAGTGGCAACCTTGTAAATAAAGTGAAATTCGGCCCAAAACACTGTTCATTTCTACAGTGCAATTTTGCCAGCTTCTTTAGACTAAAGTAATGATACCAAAAAGCACATAAAATTAAAAATAAAACCAAAAAGCACGACTCCAAGTCTTACAAGTCTTCAAGTCAGTCAATTATACTGAGACTATATACAATCTCAAAAAAAAAGGATTTACAGTTCATCTGAATCCCTTTCAAAGAAGACAGAAATGGCTGGATCTTTCATGGGACAAGATTTTCTCTCCGCATCTGTCCACGTGCTGTGTGAACAGACGGCGTCAATGGAGTTGCGCGACTTATTCTCCCAAAGGAATCTTGACGACGATTCACTCAACAGACTGGGGGGGAGCTGTCGACTCTTTGTGCAGTGCTCAACTATGCAAAACAACAGCAAGTTACAAACCCTGCTGTGAGAGACTGGCTTGGAAAGCTTCGAGACGTCGTCTTTGATGTGGAGGACCTACTGGGTGAGATCACCAGTACTAGTAGTACTGCGCAAGTTTTACAACGACCAACCGATGGATTGACGACCAAGGTGTTGAACTTCCTCTCCACTTCTTTCAATCTTTGTAATAATAATCAAGGCGTGGATTCTAGGATTGAAGAGTTATTACAAATCTTAGAACATCTTGCTAAACAGAAAGATAGCTTGTTCGACGAAATGGTAAGAGCTCTATATTTATATATCTTTGATTTTATTTTATACACAAAACTACAGTAATATGCGATGAGAACCACACATTTTTTCTCCTCCCATACTTTCATGTTTAATTATATTGGTTGTTTCCCATAGCAAAACCACTTTTTAGTTCTTGTAGTTCGCACAAAGGAAGACCTACATTCATGTTTAATTATGTTGATTGTTTCCGATTGATTTAGTTGCTAAGTCAACCCATAGCAGAACCACTTTTTAGTTCTTGTAGTTCGTAGAAAGTAAGAGCTCATTTGGTAAGTACTTTTAAGCGACTGAAAGCGCTTTTAGATAAAATGTTTTTTGACCTAAACCTTAGTAAAAATGTAAGTTAATTCTGAAAAAAAACCCTTGAAGTGCTTCCAGAAAGAAGCACATAACAAGTGCTTTTAGCAGGAAACACCTCAAGTGCTTTTAGAACCCAAAAACATTTTATTTAAAAGCGATTTTAGTCATTTAAAAGCTCTTGCCAAACGAGCCCTAAGTTCTGTTAATTTCTTGTCCCGCGCTTCCTTTCCCTCATTTTCTCTCCCCACACCAACCTTTCCTCGAGAGTCGAAGACCACCGCTGCAATGCAGCCACCTCCTCGACCCATTGCGTGTGCATTATGTTGAGCTACAAGTCGATCACTTGCGCTTATTTCCTTTCAGTGAAAGGTGATTCTCATTCACCATTTTCCATTTCTGAAGCCTCATATGTTTGGGCTAGGGACTTTCGAGTCCCAATGAACATTACATATGCATGCACAGGGATTTCAAAGTCATTACTTGGAGAAGTCCTTAAAAACCCCTCATATTCAAGCCAAATTCCCTCCCCAAGTTTCCCACTTGAAGAAGTACATATCCTTTGACAAGCTCCCTTAACATCATACTTTCTTCATTTCTCTAATTTTGAGCCACTATTACAGCACTAAGATCACACACACACACACACACACACACTCACATAATACTAATTCCATCTCTGTATTTTCCAAAATGTAGGCGGATCTTTGGGATGAGAGACCTGCAAGCTCTTCACCCAACAAGGAAATTTACGAGCCTAGACAGAAGAAAAAGGTAATGAACACAATTTGATCATTAATCATATCTTTGAAAGAAAAGTAGCCATATATAGTTTCCCTTACATATTCTTGCTAGATTTTTACATTGGTTATAGTTCTTACTCATTTTCTTTTGTAGGCTGCTTCAGCAGAATTGACCTTTTTATTCATTAGCCTCTGCCTAGAGATTTTGTCCATTGCATTTGATCAGGCTTCCTCTCCAAGTAAGCCCCATTATGCATTGTTTGGTATGTTGCTGGCTATTGTGGGGGTACTCATTTCCGCCTTGGAGTTCATTTACAAAGGTATAAAAGGAAAAGTTGTACTGATAAAGTTGGGAAAGCTGTGGTGGTTTTATTATCCTCCGCCTCCCTGTTACGAGCCTTTCGGTACCATCATTGAAATTTATGGATTAGTCGGTGGCATTGCTCAGTGTGTTTCGTCTATAATTCAATATGTCTACTTCTCTCAGCATTTGGATAGTCCTTTCAAAGTCTCCCTTTTGCCTGCCATCCTTGTCCTATGTTTGATTACTTCAAGATTAAGTGAAGATCGAATGCGGATTAGAGATGGGGCAGGTGGCAGGTCACTATAAAATTACAACATCCAATCTGGTTGATTGAATTATTACACCAATTTGTGCTTATGTGCTTCTCCCAGATCCCTTAAAATGCTGGAAACTGATGCAATCAATAGTACTGTCGATTGGAGAAGGGGCAGGTGCCTGTAAAATTTTCTTTTAGCAGTGGAGTTGGCTCAACCAAAAGACTCTCCCAACTGCGCGCATGGTTTATGCTTGAGCAAGCCAATAAACTGGATGTATTGCTTTCATTTCATTTATATATATGCTTTCTAGATATCGTTTGCTTAGTCACTTGTGGATTTTGATTTCACAATGTACCCTCTTCACAAAAAGTTTCAGGGTAGCGGAAACCTTAAGAGACGCAAACATTGATATATAAAATGCACATAAAGATTTAAACTGCATATATAATTGCTTACTAGATTACAATGTGGATTTAAGGACATTGACTTCTTATGTGGTGGGCAAATTAACTGGTTCAACCCTCAGAGAACCAGGGGCGCATACTTATCTCTCAAAAAATTGAGAATAAATGAATGTCCAGGCCTGTTACCATTACTAGGCAGAGTTGCTGCCTTCGCTTCGAGAACTTAAGATTGAGAATTGTGCTGATATAGAATGTTTTAGCAGAAACATGGTGCAAAACATCCATCATCTTCAATGTTTGACTGTACACCGGTGTCCATCCCTGTTATCATTCTCCACAGATGGTCTACACAGAAGATTGACATCACTTGATTTGTAATTGTTTCCGTCCCTGCTGTCATTCCCTAGAGATGGTCTACCTAGTACTTTGACATCACTTTCTATAGACATTGTCCAAGGTTATCATTCCTACATCATGAGATGATCACCAAAATTCACATCCCTGAAACGTCTGGTTCAATACTGCACCTGTGATTCGCTTCATTCCTTCTCATTGGCCTTTTTTCCATGCTTAAGGATCTTTCAATCAGCTAGTGTGTGAATCTCGAATCCATTTATTCTGAAGAATGTGATGAAAATCTCAGCCATCTCAATGACTTGAAGATCGAGAAGTGTCCAAATCTGTTCACTTTCCCTGAAGGAGGCTTGCCTGCCCCCAACCTGATTTCCTTGAAAGTCATAGATTGCGAGAACTTAAAAGTCATTTCCTAAAGGAATTCACACCCTCACTGTCCTTCAAAAATTGTACATGGAGGGTCTTCGATATCTTGTGTCATTTGCAGAAGGGGGTTTGCCTCCCAACCTACAAGAATTTAGAGTCATGCATTGTAACACACTCAAACCTTCAGAGGAGTGGGGTTTGCACAGACTTGGCTCCCTTAAAAAATTCACGAATTGGGGAAGTGAGGATCCATTAGAGATGTTGCTCAACGATCATCTGCTTCCTACCACTCTTATCACTCTCGGTATTTGTCATCTATCAAGTCCAAAATCTTTGGATGGAAAGGGACTTCAACACCTCACTTCTCTTCAGAACCTAGGATTTTGGTGGTGCTCCAGTCTCGAATCTCTGCCAGGATCGGTGCTTCAACACTCACTTCTCTTCAAAATCTACGAATTTTTGGGTCTCGAGGCTCCAATTCCTGCCAGAAGTGGGCGTGCCGGAATCTCTTTCTTTGCTGCACATCATTGGCTGCCCCTCGCTGACCCAACGGTGCCAGACAAAAATCGGGGAAGATTGGGCGAGGGCTCACATCCCTTGTATAAGAATAGATAACGAAGTGATCATATGGACAGGTATGTGGAACCACTTATCTGTAAAGGAATCCATTACTTAACTGGTTTTCCATGCTCTTCTGCAAATTCAGGATTCAAATCGAAAACAAAACCTATATGCACATTGCATTGCACAAACTATACTCATTTCAAACGGTTAAATCTAAAACATTGTGCATTTCCTTAATTCCCACTGAACATATAATTCAGAGCTAGGCTTGCATATCCATATTGAACTTCAAAGATTTTACAGCATCTGATAAAAATCATCATGTTCATAGCTTTACCTGTCATTCCAGAGCTTCCGCTTGCAAGGATTTCTTCGTCTGTCATTGCGCGAGGAGGGTTTGCAATTTTACAGTACTATTTCTTTCATCAGTTATGTAAATGCGTAGACAAATCCTGTAATATCTGTTAGACGGTTAATTTCATGGTCCGAAACTGAAAGCATTCATTCTTCTCAAGAACACAACAGTTGACAATTGTAATGCGGTAATAAAACTATCGATGAACATTGCAGATGAACTGTTATTAACATATTTTTCTTTTCGTCATCATTATTTCCGGAAATTTGAAGGGCTTTCCCTTCTGTTATACTGTTCTCGCTGTATCACCACAAAGCCCATATTAACAGGGAGCGTGTAGAAGGTGAAAAATTGTGCAGTAGTCGCTTTTGGGTAATGCGACAAACTGAAATCTAAGAGGCGAACTGAGACATAAGGGGGGAATAAAACATGAGGCGGAACAATAAGCATACCATATCATATCACCACTAACAGTACTTTAGGCACCATGAGTTTTCTAAATTTTAGTTACAATATTGTGTAGCAGATAAGTTCTTTAACAAAATAAGTTCGAAAAAGGGTCCAGAAATAAACAAATCAAGCACATCCACACAATTACAATCTGAAGAAGTATCAAAATCCAGCTTCAATGGGTTCGATCCCTCCTTTGTTGCATCATATCATGCTTTCTGTAAAGCACAAACATTACAAGCAATGAGTGGACAATCGAACGACATGGTACAGAACCATAATTACGGGCATTAGAAGACTGGATCAATCTAAATTACCTGCATTGGGAGGTACAACTTAAACTCAGGAGGAAGTTCCTCTTCAGAGTACAAGCGGTCAGAGAAATATATCCTCCTCAGGCGGCAATTTGCATGAACCTGAACTCGCAGTGTCTCCACATAGTTTGTTCCATAGGCTCTCCTGGTAAAATCAGCCAGATTAAACTGGATTTGATTCCAGCCATCATCCATCCTCAGCGGCATAGTGCAGATATACGGCTTCACTCGAGTTACAGCCTACAAAACAAAATTAAATACATAACCTCTTGTATCTTGTATCACTTCGACATTTCTACAGCAGCATGATCACTCCAATGCGGAGCATTATTAGTCACAGCGTTATAAATTCAAATCAGAATCCTTCAGCAGTCAAACTAATAGCACGTAAACGTTCACCAGAACTACTAGTCCAAAACTTTACCTACCATTTCAGTCATAAATCCCAAAAGACGGAATACAAGACACACACTATACTAAGAATCACTGAGCAACAATCTACCTAGGTGACCAATGGGTTTGTATCCTCCACTGCTCAACTCGAAATGGCAGGCAATCTCCAAGGAAGCATATCAATGAGATTTTATAGTCCCAGTTAGTCAACCCTGTCAATGCCACATCTATTCGCCATATTACTATCCCACCTTGGACTGAACCTCAGGACATGATTTTCCCCAACATATTCATGACACAAATGCAACACAACAGACATTGTTGATAATATTAACAAAGAAATCAGAGCGAAATATGACCAATTTTATGCCAAATGAATCTTAAAAGACAACCATAAACGCTTTAGACTTGTTTGCGAAATATAGATATCTTTGAGACAGACATAAGAAGCATTACGGTGTACCAGAATATTCCCTGAAATACCAAATGGAAAAAAGAAGAAAACAGAGAACAACAAGATCAACCCATTACGCAGTTGATAAACATCAATAAACATGGGCAAACTTACACACTTGAAAATTGGAAGCTCGAAAACGTCGCCTGACATTCTTGTCATCCAGAATTTGAATCTCAAATGTGAAATATTTCTTCAGATTCTTCACAATCATAACCAGGAATGGAAGCTTTATACTCAGTGTAGCTGATGGGTCTGCCGGGCAAGTAATGTATGTGGACTGGATGTTCGACCCAACTATTTCAAGAACATTGGATTGTATGTCTTCATCCTGTGGTCTTTTTATATGCCCATCAACAACTGCTCAACAAAACAAACACATAATATCAAACCAGGCACAAGTTACTCCATCATCATGTCGATACCTCAAAGGCATGCACCTACCAATAACGCCTCAAGTAGAAAAATAGTTGTTTTCACTATAGCATAAGAAATGCCCCACAGTCCAATACAAACATAAATCTACATACATTCCCATATGCACATGCCTCATTATTTACTTTGTCAGGAACACACTTAAGAAACTCTTAAATTTAATTGTATATCAAAGTGTTAAGGGATCCATCCATCTGTCGATTTTTGTAGCTAATGCTCCTATCAGAAGATTAGGTGCTCAGCAGTCACCAATGTTAACAGAAATAAATGGCGGACTAACATGGATGTTGCATGCCGAGCATGAAGACAATAAATCTCCATACTTAACTGGATTAACACAATATTAACTCAATCAGGAAACAAGGTCTCGGCCTACACATTCAAACAGAAAAGACAAACTCCTTTGACGATAAGAGAGATGGATAGCAATGACGAAGACAATATTGAACCATGATTAAGCACTTTCAGGTACCAAACTATTAAAAACATACAAGCCATGTTGTCCTTGTGCTACCACTTCAAAAGTGTGTTATCAAAAGTGTGATTAAGATTACTTCATCAACTCAGCTCACAATTTAGGAGGGAAAAAAATGTGAAAAACGTAAACAACACTGAAGCGTCATAATGCATCATCGCACATTGATATTCGTAACAGGTTGAATTTCACAAGAATCTCAAAATCTAATCAATATGTTTAGAGTCAAAACCACTAACCTTCTTTATCCCAAATCTGCAAAGGTTTACTCCTGAATATTCAAAACAATGCACAGCTTAACATCAATGTTACAACTGCAAGGATAAGAAAACATTCCAAAAACGAGAGAAAAAGACATCATACCCAAGGCTGTATAGAATGGACAGAAATCCGGATTGAAACGTGTTCTTGAACATTTTTACTTCTAATTCGAGCTGCAACGAGAACAACCATCTTACATTATAAATTAAAATAAAAAAATTGAAATCCCAGTAATTTAAGCTACACAATCAATAACTTATACAATGAAACAGAATATTAAGTAATTTCCAATACACTAAAATTACTCAAAACACAACTAAAGCATGATTAACCAAAGTTAATTACTTCAAAGCTAATCAATATGGATCAAAACATACCTAAAACGGAAAAAAAAGAAGTCTATAAAGGGTTTCAAAAATTCAAACATTCTTTATATTTAAAAACGATAGGTTGCTACTTTGTGACCTAAAGGTCACGTGTTCGAGTCTGCGTACAATAGACGTTCACCACCCTCGCAAAGTGGGGAGCTTGTTGGCTTGGATCGCCCTTTTTCTATAAACGATACTATAATCTACACTAAATTTCGAGGACGAAGATACGAACTCGGGTGCAGAGAGCCAGTATTCTATGAATCATAGAATATGAACCCTAGTTATTCATTCTTGCAAAGAATTTGTACACAAATCTAGAAGCTATCTCTAACCCTAACTTAGATTAGCACTAAGAAAAAAAAAAAAATTGAAGTCGGACGGAATTGCAATTTACCCGGGAAATAGTCCTCCTTTCAGCACCGACGGGAATTGCAGGACTTTGCGAGCCTCTCAAAAGCCCTAACGCTCGCTCATACACCGATTTCAAATTCCTCTCCTCTCCTTCTCTTTAACCATTTTTACCTTAATTTCGTTAAGACTATAATACCCTTGCTGACGACGTTCTAGGTCCCGCAATATTGGAGGACAAAAAGGGAAAATTGGCTCCAGAGAAGGCCATTTTTCAAATTTCACGAGAAAAAGACTCGTAGTAAAAACAGGACCGCCGCTCTGCCTCCGTCGGCGGTTGATGAGTCTGACTTCGCAGCTTCCATCTCAGTACCGGCCCCTGTTCGCCGCCGTCACCCAATACGCCCGCCAAAAGGACCTCCAAAAGGGTAAGTCACTTCACGCTCATTTGATCAAAGCCGGTTCCATATCTTGCGTATACATCGCCAACGCCGTCGTCAACCTCTACGCCAAATGCGGCGACTTGCCCGGAGCCCATCTTGTGTTTGACGCCATTTCCGACAAGGACGTCGTCTCCTGGAACTCCCTCATCAATGGCTACTCCCAGCAGGGTCTCCGAGCCTCCTCCCTCGTCGTCGTCGAGCTTTTTCGGCGCATGAGAGCGGAGAACACGTTCCCTAATGCCCACACTTTTTCCGGCGTCTTCACAGCGGCGTCCAATGTGTCGGACGTTTCTTGCGGCCGGCAAGTTCACGCGCTTGCTACCAAAGCTGCCAGCTTTTATGATGTGTTTGTTGGGAGCTCTCTTTTGAATATGTATTGTAAAGCGGGTCTTGTGTTGGATGCACGTAAGGTGTTTGATAGAATGCTCGAGAGGAATTCAGTTTCTTGGGCGACTATGATTTCTGGGTATGCAATGCAGCGGATGGCTGGGGATGCGTTGGCGCTTTTCGGGAAGATGCGTAGGGATGTGGAGAAGGAAGAAGAGAATGAATTTGTTTTGACGAGTGTTCTTAGTGCCTTGGCGCTTCCTGAGTTTGTTGATACCGGTAAGCAAATTCATTGTCTTTCAGTGAAAGACGGGTTGATAGGTTTCGTTTCTGTTGAGAATGCGCTTGTAACCATGTATGCGAAATGTGGGAGCTTAGATGATGCACTTAGAACTTTTAAGTTGTCTGGTGATAAGAATTCTATCACATGGTCAGCAATGATAACTGGTTTTGCACAAAGTGGGGATTCCCAAAAGGCTCTGGACTTGTTTTCACATATGCATTTTGCTGGGGTTATCCCGAGTGAGTTCACTTTTGTTGGAGTCATCAATGCTTGTAGTGACATCGGTGCTCTTGAAGAAGGAAGACAAATTCATAGCTATTCATTAAAGATGGGTTTCGAATTCCAAATATATATAATGACAGCTTTGGTAGACATGTATGCCAAATGTGGTAGCGTTAGTGATGCCCGTAAGGGGTTTGATTATTTGAAAGAACCTGATATTGTTCTTTGGACTTCAATGATTGGAGGGTATGTGCAAAATGGGGAGAATGAAGCTGCTTTGAGTTTGTATTGCAGAATGCAGAGGGAGGGAATGATGCCTAATGAACTAACTATGGCTAGTGTCCTCAAAGCATGTTCGAGTCTAAGTGCTTTTGAACAAGGGAAGCAAATCCATGCCCGTACTGTCAAGTATGGGTTCAGTCTTGAAGTACCAATTGGAAGTGCTCTTTCAACCATGTATGCAAAGTGTGGGAATTTGGAAGATGGCAATCTGGTGTTTAGGAGGATGCCAATGAGGGATGCAGTAACTTGGAATGCAATGATATCAGGGCTTTCACAAAATGGGAGGGGCTTCGAGGCTCTACAGCTCTTTGAGGAGATGCGGTTGGAGGACGCAAAACCAGATTATGTTACATTTGTGAATGTTCTTTCTGCTTGCAGCCATATGGGATCCGTCGAGAGAGGGTGGATATATTTTAAGATGATGTCTAACGAATTTGGCATAGCCCCAAGGGTGGAACATTATGCTTGCATGGTTGACATATTAAGCCGTGCTGGGAGGTTAGATGAAGCCAAAGAGTTTATAGAATCGGCAACTATTGATCATGGTATGTGTTTATGGCGTATTCTATTAAGTGCTTCTCGGAACTATCGTAATTACGAATTGGGAGCCTATGCTGGCGAGAAGTTAATGGAGTTGGGCTCACAAGAATCATCAGCTTATGTGTTGTTGTCAAGCATATATACTTCCTTGGGTAGGAGGGAAGATGTTGAGCGGGTAAGGAGCCTAATGAAACTCAGAGGAGTGAGTAAGGAGCCTGGGTGTAGCTGGATTGAACTGAAGAGTCAGGTTCATGTGTTTGTTGTTGGTGATGAAAAGCATCCACAAATTGAAAATATACGTCATGTGACGCAAAGGCTACTCAGGCATATGAAGGATGAAGATGACCAACCTTCGTCTACCATCTTCTGAAGCTCATGGTAACTATAAGTTATTCATCAGGTTCCTGCATCGACATTCCATTATTCTTCAGGATTTTTTGTTTTATTCTTTTTCCTGGAAATTAAATTTGAGGATAACAGGCAGCCATCTCTTTATTCCATTTTGGCTTGGAATCATAAAGAATAGAATTAGGACATGATACAAGAAATTTCATCACAAGTTGCAACTAAAGATGATTTTTCTTCCGTATCTTGACTTGTTGTGGCATTATCAAAGCAATTTCATGGCACTGAAAATTGTCGCTGTTAGTTTTTTCTTTGTCAACATGGGTAGTGTGAACAGATCTGTGTAGTTATTGCATAACCTTGATCATTATTTATTGTCAGGCATCAAAGTGAGTTTTAAGTTATAGCACAGAATGATGATCATGAGCCTTTTTCTCTGAAGTTCTGAACCATGGAATTATTATGATATTGGTATTAGAATCCCCAGGCTTCTCTTGTTTTGGGGGAAGTCTTATCGTGATCAAGATTATGATGATACTAATAGTGTGGACCAAGATGATATAGGTTAGTTGAGATTATATGGAGTTTTTTGCCCTGCATTGTTGTTGATATTTGAAAATTCATCATGGTATATCCTTGTTCTCTTGTAGTCTCACTCTATTTGGTTGTTTTTGTCATGATGTTGGACGTGATTTTTGAATTTTGTATAAAATGATTATGATGATATGAGTTTGGTGGGGTCTGTCTAAATTTGCATTTTGGGTTTGGTTAATTCGGTGGGTTTGATGTGTACTCATAATATGATATGAAGTTATTAGTCTATTAAGGTGGTTCATTTGAAATTGATGATTGAATAAGACATTGGAATGTGAATTTTCATGCATTTTGTAATTCTAAGTCTGCATTTGGATGCTTTATGTTAATGTGTTCAATTACATTAGAAACTAGCCTTACGTTACTGCCTTGATTTATAATGGGCGTTTGACTGTATTTTCATGCCTGCTTCTTGGGTATTTGAGGGAAGGTATGAAGAAAATGATTGTAGGAAGGGAGGCTCATCGTTGATGTATGATTTAGCTAGGTTTTTGGTTCGGGGTATTCTTTCTTCGAAGAGTTTACTGATTATCTGGTTTACATCTAATGAAAGATAGTACATCACAGCAGAGTCCACTTGACATGAAGGTTTTCGCAAGCAGGTTCCAATAATCCAATCGATGCATGATTTCCTACCTGCTCCTGCTTTACAGTTTGTTTAACATTTCTTGCTATGCAGTAAGCGTTGCGAGAAGAAATGTCTCGGAATGCTGTGATGTCGATCTGCCATTAAAAGTAGACTTCATGTTCTGTCACTCGACTTCACTGATATTTCTCGCTCACGTCGAATGTTAACTTATTTCATATTATAAATCAATTGAATTTTAACTTAGTTCATGTTATAAATCACTCAATTGATGTGGGAGTTTTGCATCTTGTGTTAATTGGTTTGGGGCATAATCACTAACAAGGAAAACCATATGAGAGTTGGTTCTCCAAAAATAGAATTGAAAAATTAGCACACCTCTCATATGCTTCTCGATAAAATTACTTAAGTGATTTTATGGATAAACACATTTTATATGCTTATTCGCATCGTGAGTTTGATTGATTACACTAGCTAGTGCCCTATTGGTGTGAGCTTGATATGAGTGAGTTTCATATATTAACTATGGGATCAATCTGCTATATCTTTCTTTTTTTTCTACCTCTTTTCTCATATAGAAATCACATTCATGAGTTTAATATATTTAACTGAAAATTCAAAATCACTTTCATAAAATGTAAATTTTCCGGTCCATTGTGGAGTTTGATTCCTATATTATTGAAATGGTGCTCAATTTTCCGGCTCACTTGGAAGCCTTAAGCTTTTCACAGTAGTTTAGATGAGTATGATGACTATATTTAAGAATTAGAAAGAATTAGTTTGATTCGTATTATACTACTGTTAAAGTGGTTTCAATTTGATAGGGTTGAGTTCTACGTATTAAATATGAGATCTCTCTGCTTGTTCTTTTTTTTCTTTCTTCCCTGTGTTTATGACGTTTACGTCTTTTCTCTCTTATATTTTGTAACGTAGATACGACAATCAAGAATTTAATATATTATAATTAGAAAAATAAATCACACTCATAGCAGTCAAATTCATAGCCTACTGCAAAATTTTGACCTATGTCATTGATATCGGAAAGGGATCCTCTTTTTTCTACGAATCTTGCAATTATATCGGTTCATCATATATTATGTAGTAAATTTTCGTTAAGTACTATTTATATTTAAATTTTAAATAATTTATGATCGCACAATATTCAATAAACAAATACGATTGCAGAATTCCTAGAAAAATAATTCGACGAAAATCTTTTTCCATTGATATCACTCAAATTTGCTGTCTAATGTGAAAGACCTTACTAAAATAGAGAAGGATTGTTTGTCCTCCCACTTCCGGTGCTCTTTTGTTTGTGTGATCAAAGTTAAATCACGTTAACATTTTATATTACTATTTCTTTTTATCTTATTATCTTAAAAAAATAATATAAAATATTAACATAACTTAACCGTGACCACACAAAACAGAAAAACAATAAAAAGCACCAAAAATGAGACGACAACAATCCTTGTCCTACTAAAATACCTGCTCAAAATCCAATTTAGACCCAATGTTTTTGAAGAAATTTTCAGTGTTCAAAATACCGACCTCTATTTATATAATAATATATACCGTACCACTTCCTATTGCAAGTCACCTAAAAAAATCTCTCCTTTTCTTGTGTACCAGGAATCCTGTCCCCTCATCTTCTGTTAATCTTTATCCGACTGTATCTTATCCCTATTTCCACCAAATAAACCAAGCTACAACTTTTTTTTTTGTTTGCAGTCCTCGATTCCCTCAGAAAACGCCACGTGTCATTCACCCTACCATATAAGGCCACGTGTCAGAGGCCCAAGCATATCCAGCCACGTGTGTGCGTGGAAATCTATGCGGGACCATCGAACGTGAATGCTTTTACGGCTCCCAATGTTTAAATGACCATTCGGGCCACGGACCCCACCGCCTCTTTCTCCTTCGAGACGTCGGTACAACTAAACAAAATGGAGGTATTTCCGGAATTAAAATATGAGACGCAAGTCGCATGTCACGGCATCCCAAGCGCAATCATCCACCAAGTAATAAATCGGACCTGCTCTCGGTGGGACCGGATTCGGACACGGGGCCCAATGAGGATGCAGTTTTAGATGGAGCCCTCAGCCACAAGTAATGACAGCCACCAGCTTCTCTCTCCCTCTCTTATTCTCCATCCGCAAGTTGTTTTCTTTAGTCTAAAATAAAATACAGAAAAACCTGACCACCAAAAAAAACCACGCCCGTCTTGTTTGTTTTTCAGCTCAAACACTCCAAATCCCAAATAAACCCATCTGAATTTTCAGTTTTCGAGATCGATTTCTTCATCTGGGCTAGCTTAAATCTCGGAATCACAAACTGGGTCCCGTTCAATTTCCCAAATAGTCGATCAAAAGGTATGTTTTCTCTTCACTTTGATTTATATCAGTTGTGTAAAATCTTGGGGGTTTTTTTTGTTGTTGTGATTTTTATGTTTGATGTATTGGATTGACCTTGCTATTCACTGCTGTTATGATATTGTTTGATGATAGTTGATAAAGTGGCTTCAATTTTCACTCTTACTTGGTTTGATGAGTTCTGGATGGTTCAGATGCTAGTGCAAGTGTAGGAAAGAAACGAAATTCTGAATTTTAAGCAATTTTAGAGCTATTTTGGATGCAGTCGGTACTGGAAATCAAAGAAATTGTGAAATTAAATGGTTTAATAATTAGTTACTTGGATGTGAAATAAAAAAAAAAAATTTGTGTTTTTGTCATGCTTCTGGTTTACCTGTTTTGTACTAAGCAGATCTGGAAACCAGATTTGAGCGCTTGCTAATTTGGTGTTGTTCATGTAGAACAACCTTCAATTTTATGATTATCCTATCCAATCCAATCCTAAGCACCAGACAAGACATCTAGATCTCTGTTTGATTACGAGAAAATTGAGGCTGTAGGGCTTTTAAAGAATAGATGAAATTTTGTTGCTTTGTTACCTAACTGTACAAGACTTGAGTGTATAATTAGAGTGGAGAACCGACATGAAGGGGATATAGGATTTCTTCCCCTTATTTGTTGACTTGCCCTGTACAAATAAGTTATCAAAATCTGAAAATCAGAATTACCTTTTGTGATTCTTATTCATTTATGCTTGTTATAACATTTCTATTATCTATTTTCAGGATAAGTCTCATGGATTGGTATTACAGCGTTGATGATCTTGTTGTTCCAAATGATGGACAATTGGATAGGCTTCCATCACCGGACAGTTGGTCAAGATGGGGAATTAGTCCATCTGAATATTTTCAGTCGACTAATAAATGCTTTTCAACGTATCCCCAATTCAACAAGGAGTCCAACTTTAGTGGTAACAGTTTGTTTGGTGAAGTCGAGATGGAAACTTCTGTTAATGAAAAAGATCCGTCGAGCAGTTCAAGTGCATGTGAAGGATTGTCCGAGGCCTCTCTTCAGCAGACCACTCTTTCATACAATCGGGCTAATAATCAACTTGAAGACCTAGCAGGACTCGAACAGATGGATGACATTTTCCTGTACAAGCGTAACCTCTGGGATTAAGATTCTTGATGTAGTTTCTTAACTGCCTTCATTTGTCATAATCAAGTATGGCATCATAGGAAGTCCAATGGAAATTGAATTGCTCCATTGTGTTTTCATGTCATATTCTGCACTATTTTATCTTGGGGATTTGTGCCAGTATGAAAGATGGCATCGGCTGCATGATACTGAATAATTTAGAGGCATAAAATTCAAACTGTTTTTATAACACCATTCTTGGAAGGTCTTAGTTTTCTTTTAGACCTATTTTAGACCCTAAAATTTTTTAACATCTGATTTCCCCTTCATGCAGGAGTTCCTTACTTGACGATCTTCCTGGGGCAGAAAACGCACACAAATCATTCTCTTTTTGTTCTGATTCCAATGGCTTGTTACCCACTGATAGTATCTCGACAAGCACGAGTTTGGAAGCATCAAGTATCTCGAGCAGCGTGCGCAGTGCAGGAAATTCAATGTATCTTCAAACTCATGCATTTTCACCAACTGTGGGTTCTGATAAACGAGATGCCACTACTTCACAGTTTAATCAGTGCAACTCGGAGAACGAAAATTTCCTTCCAGTAAAGGTAATATATTTTTTGAACCATTAGCTTGCCCTGTTCGGATCCTGGGGACAGCAGTCTTAAAAAAATGCTTGGGTTACTAACAATCTCCATGCATCTGTATGTTGAAGTTTTGAAGTGTTTAAGTGGTTATTACTTATGTATTGCGTATAACTTAGTTGCAACTGAAAATTTTTTTTTTTTTTTTTTTTTTTCGTTAACAGGAAATGCATAATTCTTTGCAGTTTCCAGAGTGTAAGATGGTCTGTATGTAGTCTTAGAAACATAAAAATCCCGATTTTATTAAGAGTCAGATTTTTCTGGCTACGTACGTGGATTCAGACTTTGTTTAATAAGTTATATCAAGAATTTCATCTTCAGGGAAAAAATTCATTAAACTACAATATGATAACTTGAATGAACTATGATATGATAACTTGAAAATTTTGATGTCCTCAATCTGATCTGTGTTGTGGCCTTGTAGTTACTCTGTAAGACAAGTAACACTACAATCTATAAAAGATCATTGTTCATGCTTTAGGTGCTTTGACACAATTTTATGGCAATGTTCCAAGTGCTGTTATGTGTTATCTGTTTTTTATTGAATACCATCCTGAGGTTGTTGTTTTTTGGGATTTTGTACCTTCTTATTTTCCTTGGTTTCAACAACTTTATAAAATTTAATTTAATTTTTGAAACAGAACTCCTTGCTGAACGTTCCTAGCATCTGTTATTGCAGTTGATTTGTTTTAGCATCTCAAGTTTTACGTACTAACATTTGTATATTTCTGCAGTACTAGTTTTCTTGACCAGTAGTATCTTATTAATGTAGTTTTGTTTAATGTACAGACAGCAAGAGTTTTTGCCCTACCTGAGCAAAGCAACAGGAATGGACCCATTGGTGAGGAGTCATCAGTTGAAGAGTCTGTATTACATGAACTGGAAATGGTGATGAAACAGGTAAACTTAGGCTTCAAAAGCAGAATAATGCACATGTTATAAAGCACGTCCATCACATTCATTTTTTGTTATGGAATCTTACCCTGTTATTGGATGATCAGTTGAATGAGAAGACCCGAATTTGCTTTCGAGATTCCTTGTACCGTCTTGCAAACAACTCAAACGGAAATCACACTACACAGAGCCAAGATGGGGCTGAAGCAATGGAAAAAGAAAAACCCTTATCATGGACAGCCCAGGATGAAACAGTCAGGTATATTTTGTAATACTTGATACATTACTTCTGTCTCGTCAGAATATTATTTTGTCCATTTCATGTTAGAAAACTGGCCTTGCTGAATTGTGATGGTCAAATTAAAAGCCACAGGTTACATGTTGGTGATAGGGTGATTGTGGTAAATTATTTATATGATTCCCTTTCGGGTGTTCATTTCTGACAATGTTAAAGTTCTATCTCTGCCCGAGAGTTAAATTTGACAGCCCTGAAATCTCTTGATTGCAATAATTGCCAGAGATGCTTCTTTGGGCAGGGGAGGATACTATTTTTATTTTACCCGGTAGTGAAGAATGAAGTTTTCATATTTGCCCTTGTACTGCTTTGAAGTACTCTTAAGGTGTTCCTACATTGGCTTGTAGTTGCAATGTACATACTAAACTGGGCGTTGGGTGCTGGTGGGGCATTGAATCCTAGAGTGATGAGTGTTCTTTACATTAGCTTGTAGTTCAGTTTGTTAATGTAGTTTAGTTTTTAGTCATGGTTAATTTTGTTTAGTTTAGTTTTTGTTAAGGTAGTCCTAGTCATGGTTATTGTCTCTCAAGCTCTTATTGACCAAAAAATAAACTTCATATTCAGGTCAGGGAGCAATAAAGGGACGGAATCAGAGACGAACGCCATTGACAGAGCAATCGCAAACCTCATGTTTAATGAGATGAACTTTAATGCACAGGACCTTTCTGGAGGCGCATCATTAGACTCCAAACAAGAAGTCACTGGAGCGACTGGGCAACAAGCTGACGACGCTTACCGACCACAAATCTCTCATTCACATATCCCCTCACTTGTACCACAGGATGCTGAAGTTCCAACTCTAGGTGAAATAAACATGGATGTGGCGACAGATGATGAAATGCACATCAGTTTCTCGTCGTGTAATGCTGGTGGGAAGCAAAAAGCTCCAATGAGGGAGTTCGCATCTACAACTGAGTTCTAAAAGGCTATTCGAACAACGGCATATATGGCCAAGGTTTGTGGTCAAAGAACCTTGCTCGAATTGCTTTGAGGACGTTTGTTACTTCTCTTGTACATACAAATCCCGTCTAGTTAGTGTGCAATGTTCAAAGATTTGATGTATCTCTGTTCTGCTCAGTTTTGATTGACATGCGAATGAGCGAATTTAATTCAGGTACCTCGTCATAGACACGAATTTACGCTTTCCTACTGAAGGCTCGTTCTAGTTACGCTATAGTGTGTTATATTCAGAAGACTTTACATGCATCCTCAAGCGTGTGCTGTAACTTGTTTGGATAATTATATGGCAAGTTACATTTGTGGTCTCTAGTGTATGGGATTGGTATCACTATAAATCTCTATTTCGCTTTCGACATCATGTTTCACTTTCTTTAATTTCAAACAGTTTTGCAAGCTTTATTTTGTGGGTGTGTTGTAGCTTGCGTAGTGACCGACTCGACCTCCTCTCCCTATCCTTCCCGGCCCTATGTTCGCACCGCCTGCGACGGCCCCGATTCTCGATTCTCGATTCTCGTTGAAATCGGTGATGTGATGATATAATGGTGGCACGGAGATTGACATTGAACTGTGAGCTTGGATCTCTAGCCCAGGGCCATGTTCTTATTTTAATCCTTTGATTTGGGGGGCGCAGTGTAGTTTAAACTAAGTTTAGGACTTGGCTATGGGGAAGTAAACGATTAAGAACATAAACAATTACAGATGAAGAGGAGGCAGAAGACCTATCAATGATTCAGTTTATAGATTATGCTCCTCGACGTGCCCTCCAATTATTCGATGTCAATTTATAAGACATTTTCTTCACCTTGGTCCTCATTTTTTCTTGATCCATAATTTACCAAGTTTGCTACTCCACACATCTACATTTCCTCAAGTTCCTCCCATGCCCTATCTTCTCATAGTGCATTACTTCACATTAGTAATGACAATGAGAAATAGACTCGATTGAGTCAAATAAGAATTGATTTTAGACTCAGCATGATCCATGATAAAAATCACCGATATTACTCCAATTGACTACATATTAATAGGTGTTGAGTTTAGTTGACCATCCACATATAAGCTGTATATTATTTTGTCATATCTCAAAAAGCTTTGATGCTTTTTATGGATTCATTTGGATTGAAAGTGTTTTTAGAGAAATGATTTTAAGTGTTTTTAGAGAAAATGATTTTGGATTTCAAAGGCACTTGAAGTGCTTTTCCAGAATTCACTTGCGTTTTTACTAAGAATTAGTTCCAAAAGCATTTCCACATAATACACTTTAATCATTTAGAAGCACTTAAAAGTGGGGGTTTTTTTTTTTCAATCAAAATTCACTTGCGTTTTTACTAAGAATTAGTTTCAAAAATATTTTCACTCAAAACGCTTTTAGTCATTTTAAAAGCACTTCCAAACAAGTCGAATAACGAGCCACACGTTTTCTCATATCTCAAAGTGTAGCAAACTTGACTTGCTTTGCGACAACCTCAAAAAATTGCTCTTCTCGAGCTACCTGACATTAGGAGTAGGATTTTCTCCCCTCTTTTTCCCCTTCCCTTCCCTCCCCTCCCCTCAACGGTCTCAGTTAAGCCACGTCAACATCTTATATTACTTTTCTTTTTTATAGAAAGAGAAAGATAAAATAGAGAATGTAAGAGTAAGGGATGAAAGGGGATGGAAAGAGAATAGGAGAGAATCCTAGTCCCTGACATTATATCATCTTGCGGATATCTTTTGAAATAAATTAAACACAAGTATATTCAACATTAGGAATTGAGGGAAGAGATCCTCTCCGGACCTCTCCCACCAAATCAATTAATCCGGGCTCTTGAAATTTGATCCAACGGCTACAAACAGCGAGCCCCTTAAAAAAGTTATAATAATTTTAGCTGTTTAATCAAATTTCAAGAGCTTGAATTAATTGATTGGTGAATTTGGTGGAGGAGATCCGGAGAGGATCTCTTCCTTGGAATTGAGTAAGATCACAATGTATTCATTGAACCAAACACTATTAAAAAGGTTAGCTAAACGAGAACAGAAAACTAAAGTAAAATATATCTTCATAGTCAACTGACAAGAACAAAAGTCAACAGCAGTACCGGACGGCTGATTAGCTTACCCTTCAAATATTGTGTGACAATTTAAAATCAAAGAAGAATTAAAAGCAGAAATTTTACGTTAATCATATAGGGAAAAAAAAACGTTGTATTGGTGTTACAATTTGTATAAAAATCGTTTTGAACATTACCTTCATATAATAGGGCCTTTCAAATTTGAAAGGAATGATGATCAATGTTCTTCTTTAATTAAGAATACTACTTATCAAGTTGATTAGTAAATAAGTACTTCTGTAGAAAATTAAAGAGTGCTTCGTAGAAAAGGTGGCAGTATGCATCCAAAACCAACCCGGCAAACGCAAATTCAGTAGCAAAGTCCTTACAATGTAGATTGGGACTCCAAACTCTGATTTGGCTCTATGACTCGCCGTTTCGTGTCACGAGTGCAACTCAATCTGATTTAGACCAAAATTCTTCGTTTCCTATGTTGAATTTGGATTTAAAGTTTTCAGGATGTTTCGTAATTTGCTTTCAATTGTGATTCCTAGCAAGATTAGGGTGAGGGTAGACTATAAAACCATCGTTTGTGCGGTGCTAGGGTTGGTATCTTTCTTTTTTCAATCTTAAACTTTGAGAGGTCTTTTATGGTTTCTCGTGGATTTCATATCGTTTGATTTCCTTCTATTGTCAAAATGTATCACTTTGTTTCCCACCTTATGTCCATTTCTCCACCCAATTTTTATGTGAAAGCTTTAATGACAAGTTCATCATTTCGTAAACGACTTGTAAATACCTGAGTACAAATATTGCCAAAAATGACAAATGACATGAATGATCGAACACCACTCTCAACCTATTCGATCGATTCTGTTATGGATACGGTTACTTAGACTTGGCTTATTGGTATCTTTTATATACACAATGTCTAGTGCTAAAGGTTTCTATCTGTGAGTCTTTCCAGCCTTCGAAGGTTATGCAGATTGTCGTCGCTTGACCACCAGCTTGTTTTCCTTTAAAAAAAATAAACAATAGTTATCTATCTTTAGCTAAACCACCAAACTAAAAGCCTAACCATCTATAAACAAGGAATAAAACAATCCATATCCTTAATTCCCCGTTAAACTATTCAACAATACTCGCAACGTGCACACCACAAAATCACAAACTTAAAACTCCTTTTCTTATACACCCTAGCTCATTTCCACAACCAAGCTCTCACCAAAGTCATCTCTCAAACATTGCCGTCCCCAGCGATTCAACGATCCACCAACGACCAGTTTTTCTTATGGCAGCAGCGGAAACACAGCCGCCACTGCCACCACTACCAGCATCGTCGCCACGATCTCAAAACCCCAAACCATCTACACCAACGGTGAATACACCTCCGCCTATCTCCCTCCAACCATCCACGAAAAAAGGTCCATCAAAACCTACAAAACTATTCCAGCGCTTTCGCGCTGTTTTCCGCTCATTTCCAATCATATCTCCTTCATGCAAGATTCCTGTTTCACTCCACGGAAACCGTATTTTAGACGGACACCTCCATGGAGGGACACGGATGACCGGAACCCTATTTGGGTGCCGTAAAGCTAGGGTTAACCTCGTTATCCAGGAAAGCCCTAGATGTCTTCCCATGCTTGTTCTAGAGCTTGGGATACCCACAGGAAAGCTTCTCCAAGATATGGGAATGGGGCTTGTTAGAATAGCCCTAGAGTGCGAAAAGAAACCGGGCCAGAAGATGAAGGTCGTTGATGAGCCGATATGGGTGTTATATTGCAATGGGAAAAAATCAGGGTACGGAGTTAGAAGGGAGCCGACGGAGGATGACTTGAGTGTGATGCAAGTGTTGCATGCAGTGTCCATGGGAGCTGGGGTGCTACCAAATGAAACTGAGTTGCCAGATGGTGACCTAATGTACATGCGAGCACAGTTCGAACGTGTTGTTGGGTCTAGGGATTCGGAGACATATTATATGATGAATCCGGATGGAAACAATGGCCCTGAGCTCAGTGTGTTCTTCGTCAGGGTCTAATTCGATCAAGTCAAATCTGAGGACAAAAGGTTAATCAATATTGCTGGGAAAGAAAAAAAAAAAATGGTCCACATGCAAGGCACGAAGTGTTAATGTCGTTGAAAGGGTTCGGGGAAAAGTATATACACCTCCAATTGGTCTTCAATGGAGGCAATGTTGGGATTGTAGACCGTGTATATCGCATCTTGCTTTATGTGGGTAGACCCTACGTTTTGGCCCTGAAATATTGCGTCGTGTCTTTAAGTCGTAATGTTCTTTGTTTGTTCATGAGAGAAAAGACGTACAATTTTTTTTTTTCCTTTCATACTTTGTAAAAGTAATTTTCGTGCCAATCAGAATCAAATCAGTTGACTAAGAAGAATATATTCTGTATACTCCATATGCAGATTTTGTTCCTTTTGTTTCTTTCTTTGTTCTTCATTAGTGCGCATCAATTATTGTAGCTAGTGGAAAAGATTTGTAACTCAAGTGATTAAGAGCATTCATCTTTGATAATTCACGTTAAGTGAGGATAAGGTAGGGTGGGTGGTGGAGGGAAAGAAGTTTGAGTTAAGCCACATTTAGGTCAATTGTAATAATTAGGTATCGTACTTACTATGCGTCAAACATTAGACCTCTAGCTTACAATAATTCTGAGTTATACGTAACTCATGTCTTCAAGGTTCCTTATAGTACTTGATTGTTGCAGTCATATGATTTGTTTGGTAGTGCCTTTAAAATGGCTAGAAGCGTTTTTGGTGAAAATGTTTTTTGGAACGAATCCTTAGTAAAAATACAAGTGAATCTTAAAAAAACAATTGAAGTGATTCTAGAACCTAAAAACATTTTCTCTAAAATTGCTTTTATTCATTTAAAGCACTTTCAAATGAGCCCATATAATTACAATGTGTTCACAATATATGAAATATTAGGCCTAGTAAAGTCCTATTTGCGCTCCAACTATGCTTTGATAGAGGGTAGGATGATGTTGAGAGTAAGAATCCGACATTAGGGAAAGGAAAAAACTTTGCATGTGTTTATAAGTAATTAAGTCACTCTTTATATTGCTAATTGATTTTATGGTGAAACTCCAACTTTCTTCATGGTATCAGAGCAGATTAGGCTTGAAAATTCGCCGCATGTGAGGGGGTGTGTTGAGATTATAAATCCCGTATCGGGAAAATGAGAGACACTGCATGTGCTTATAAGTAATTGGGCTACTCTATATTGCTAATTGGTTTTATGATAAAACTCCAACTTTCTTCATTTCTTTAAGTAATTCATCATCATCATCCTTAATAATCTGGGCATGGAGCTTGTAAGTGTTAAAATAGGAGCCTAGGGTTTATGAAAATATTTTTTGTTTTATATCTCCATGTGGAGGCGAATATTTATAAAAATACAATCCTTGTAGGACAAAGAAACAATAACTCTTAACCTATTTACAAAATTAAATAAAATTCTACAAGGAAATAAAATAAAGAATTTAATGACTCCTATTTTAAATTGGGCTCATGCAAACATTCCATCTCAAGTTGGTGCATAGATATCGCTAATACCCAACTTGTTAAGTTAGTATTGGAATACCTTACTTGATGCAGCCTTAGTCAAGATATCTATTAGTTGATCTTCAATCTTCACAAATAGAAGTTGACTAATATGTCCCTTCCACTTCTTGATAAATGCCTATCCACTTCAACAGGTTTGTGCGATCACGTTAAACTAAATTGTAAGATATGTGAATTGTAGCCTTATTATTGGAAAAAAAAGTTCATAGCACAGACCTCAGATATATCCGTCTCTTCTCAAATCTGCATCAGTGTATCCATCTATTCTCAAATGGTCATTCTTATAAAACATAATCTCTTTCATGGCGCAGACCTCAGATATCCACATATCTGAAAAACTGCTTCATATGATCTTCACTAGATAAATTCTTTCAACTAAAACATCATGTCCAAAAACTGGCTCACAACGCATATTGCATATGCAATATCAGCTCTAGTGTGCGTGACCGATTCTTCCAATTAACCTTTGATAATGATTTTTGTTTGATGCAACCTAATATGGACATTCTTCAAGGTGATGATTATGAACAATAAGTGTATATGGCGGTTTACAGTCTAGTAGGGCGATTTCAGCGAACAAGTCTAAAACACACTTTCATTATAAAAGAAATGTGTCTTATTCTGAACAAGCAACTTTGATTCTCAAAAAGTATTTCAATTACCAATATCCTTTTATCTCAAATTTGACAGCTAGATACTTTTTTGGTCTTGGAATCTCTTGTTGATCATTAGTTACAATCACATCCTCAACATAAATTATGAGAGCAGTTAGCTTACCCTAATGATGCTTAAGGAAAAGAAATGATCCGAATTGCTATGCTTGAAACCATATTTCTTCATAGCCGCATAAAATTTTCCAAACCAAGCGCTAGGTGATTGCCTTAACCCATACACGGTCTTCTTCAATTTACACATCTTGGATTATTAGACACAACATATCTTGAAGGTACATTCATATAAACATCTTCTTTCAGATTTCTATGAAGAGAAAAGCATAATTCATATCAAAATGCTGTAAAGGCCAATAGCAGCAAAAGATAAGAAAACACGAGCCTCACTGATATTTGCCACATGAGCTAATGTCTTTCCTTAGTTAATTCCATAAGTATGAGTGTAGGCCCTTGCAACTAATCTTGCCTTATATCTCTCCACCGTACCATCTACCTTATATTTCATAGTATACATCCACGTGCAACCAACTGCCTTTAACGTCTATGTAATGGAACCGAGTTCCAATCCTGATTTTTCATAATGCCTCAATCTCTTCCATCATTGCCTTTCACTTTTTCACGGCCTTTCCCCATTTGGGATCAAACTGGATTTTCTCTACATTAATTGGAATATGAATGGTAAAAGCTGATGGACAAGCACCTTTCTTGAAGGTGAATGTCCAGTACCTTGAAAACACAACCAAGAAAAGGCAATCAATCATCTCTGCACGATTGCGCAAAAATAATGATTTTCCTACGTCACAATCTTCATGAAGGCTTGAATCGGAGTACCTTGGAGTGAAGGATCTTGCTGTTCCTTGGTTTAATTTGGAAGAAAGGTCTCTATGAAGGAAAGCATAATTCATATCAAACTGTCGTAAAGGCCGATTCAAATTACCGGCCAGAGATAAGAAAAGTCTAAGGATTTTGTGAGAATATCTACAAGGGTTATCCCCTATTATATTGAATGCTTGTGAGGAGCAAAAAGGAATCATTTTCCCACCAAGACTTGGATCCCTACCTTGCGAAGAAAAGTACTAATCAAAAGGAACTGCATCTCCTTTTGTTTCCTAATTCAACACAAGTAGCTAGATGTGCGGGCATTTGTGTAGACTTCAATTAATCATCTCTAATAGGTGAATGACATGTGGATTATCAGTTCACTATAACGAATTTGTCCTTGACATCTTGAATAGATCATACATGATACTTCAGTGGTTATGCATCGCCTACCCTATAGGTCTTCGGCCTTCGGACCAGGTATATACCCTTACTCCTACAATCGTGTCCTTTCAGGTATATGTCATTACTCTTCAGAATCTCCCTTAGCTGTCCCTCGGTCTGGCTAATCCATCTGCCAAATACCGAGCCTACCACTAGAAATCTGATCAAATGGTCTGCTCAGTAAGGTATGCACCATCCTAGCAAAAGTCTACTTAGCATGATCTGGAACCCTATTGTTAAACTGCATATGAGAGGTCTCTCCTATAAATAGACAAGTCAATCAAGGAGATTGGTAGTCGTTACTTACTACCTAGAATCCTCTCAGTTCAGTTTCTCTAGAATTATTTTCCTAACTTAGACATCGGAGACCCTTTGGCAGACACTCTCCACCTTTGCTTAGGTGTTCGTCAATTAGGCTAACGGTGTAAATTTATTTTACAAGTTTTTTGTCAGTCTATCCTTGACTGAAAATTTACATCCACAGTTACAATGATCAATTACCTGATATATAAGAAAGTATAATTACGGAGAAAAATCCATAATCAACGATTCTATTCTAACAAATAGGACTGGGGTAGAGCTGAACACACTGCAGTAAGTGGTAGTCGAACCGAAGCATCTACTAAACTGCGGTAAGTGGCTTGATAATCTCAATTTTGGCATAAACTTTAATTGAGTGGCAGAGTGTCCAAAACAAGAATAAACCAACCAAATTATGGTTGAGTTTCTGACATTTGAAAGGCCATATTTTGCCTTCGTGGACGGCCTCCTAAATAAATCTCTTAATTAACCTCACTGGTTTCACCTACCATCTCTTATCCTAATTATTTCTAGGCCACCTATACTGGCCAGAGCCATTGTCTATGTGCGATGTCGCCTGCGATCAGTTTTCCAGCTTGGCGGTTTTACTGCCTATCCTTGTTGTCTCTGTGGAAGGGAATCCCTAGGGAGTTAGTCCCAACCCAAGTGGTGAGCGTAGTGGAAGTGGGTTAGAAATTTACAAAATTCAATTACCTTCCATTATTAACCCAAGTGGTGAATTAGAAAATTTTGGGGAGTGAAAGGTCTATTAGTGAGTAGAAATAAAGATGTGCAGAGATACAATCACCCAAATTAAATCAAAGGGCGACCACTAAATTCCATCCCTTGTTTCTTTCAAGTTTTAACTTCAGATTTGCCCTAATAGTGGCATGCAATATATATTGATATAAATCTATTATGAAACAAACAAGACAACCTGATATGGAACAATTAAACTGAAAAGATTTACACTGCATAGCATTTCATAATTAAAATGATAAATCCACTTTCTTTTTGTGACAGAAACTTGACATAATCCACCTTTTGGTTACAGTGAAATAAAGCAGACATGAAAATAGCTGGATAGATTGAATAATCGAGACCCAAAACCACTGCGACTAGGGTTCTGTAGGCCCTAGGGAAACACTTTGAATCTCAAACCTGAACCACATAACTTGTCTTCTATGACCTTGGACAGCCTCTCCACCATCTTTGGGGACAAATAGTTAACCCAATCTCCGACCTCAGCTTTTCTAAACAGGTTCTTATTCTCAAAGTTCTTAATAGAAGAACCAGTTTTATTAACCTCCAATTTCTTCATGTTGTCAAAGCAACACAGCTTCGAAATGCTTTCTATCACACCATTTTTCTCCTCTACCAGAGTAAAAGGGCAGCCCAAAAATTTGGCCAGTTTTTTTAGTTGAAAGTCACAATCTTCCTTCAGGTCCTCATACTTCAAGAAAAGCACCTTTTGGGGCCTAAGCAAGCTCTCATTCCAGTACCCCAGCATGTGGTCCCAGAAGGGACCAAACCCTACTATGCCCTTGCAGTACATGTCAAATGCATCCTCCATAGAGAGTGGCGCTTTTGATTCTGGCTTCACTTTGTCAAGGAAATGCCAAGAGGACACAAATGTGTCAAAAGGGTTCCTGCATATGTAAACAATCTTTGAGTTAGATTTTCTGATGGAGTTAGCCAGAGAAGCAAAAGGAATGTGGGTTCCAAAGAGTCTTGGCTGATCATCAGGAAGGTTGGTGGTGGTGAGATCAGGAATCTGGTTGTTTGCATAAAGCTTGTACTCAAAGAAAGGCACAAGGTCATGGGGGTTGGAAGTGAGCAAAGGGTGGCTCTTTGAGTTTGTGGTGAAACGGTGGCGGTTGACGGTGGCGAAAGCCAAGGCTTTCAGCCATGTGGTGCCGGATTTTGGTATGGTGGCTAAGACTATGTCAGTGTCAGTAGCTTGGAAGTGCTTTTGGAAAGTGATTATGGACTGGATCTCAGCTGCCTGGCACCAAAAGCCTTGGAACTGATAGAGGTGAAGGGTTCTCCAACCTCTCTCCTTGGGGAGAGAAAGAAGCATTTGCTTGCACTCATCACTGATTTTTTCTTCCTCAGTGGGTGCCATTGATGTGGTTGTGGAGGTGGTAGAGGACGCAAACACCCCACGATTATATACTAGAGCTCCCACACTTCATGCATACACTTTGCATGTACAAGATCAACTGTTCATTTGTGTGCTCCAATCAAGCACGTGCCTTGCAAAATTGTCATGCTACTTGTGCTGTTTGTACATCATTCATGGGACCATACCTATCCAACATGTCTGTGACGTGATGGTGACATTTTACATGTTGGAAGTTGGAATTAAACAATAAAGAGAAATCGGTGGAGCGGTGGTTCGTGAATTTCTTTATTTTTATTTTTACAACCGATATGATGTTTACCGTAATTTTTTTTAACATAAAAAAGGAATTTTAAACTTGAATACGGAGGAGGAATACACTGTTTTAAAGTTAAGGACTAATCCTGAGGATAATATAGTAAATAAATGTTTTAGTAAATCATAATAGTTACCAAGTTAGTTAGAAAGTTGTAAATAATCTTTTACTTTCCTTAGTTTGTAACTTTAGCTTTCCTAAAGTGTAAATATATAAATAGTTGTGTAACTTATCCTTGAGATTAATAAAATGAAACATTTTCTCAATATGGTGGAGTGGGTTGAGGATAATATAGTAAATAAATGTGTTAGTAAATCATAATAGTTACCAAGTTAGTTAGAAAGTTACTTGTAAATATTCTTTTACTTTCCTTAGTTTGTAACTTTAGCTTTCCTAAAGTGTAATTATAAATACTTGTGTAACTTATCCTTGAGATTAATGAAGTGAATCATTTCTCAATACATACTGTTGGGTATCCTTTACAACTATCGTTCACGCATATCTTTTCGAAGCCAATATAACATACGACGAAATGACTAATAATTTTATCATCATAATTCTATGAAGTTCTCGCAATTATAGCAAATGTAACGTTCCTAACACTAAATGAATATATTTGAAAAGGGAACTATTATTAGCACATCAAAAAATCTCATTTGACACTCCTTACAAATGTATTTTTATTTTTAATTATAAAAAATTTAGAGTGCAAAATGAGATTTTTAGAGTACCAATAACAATTATCTTTGAAAATCATACGTAATTTTTAAATATAAAATCTGAATATGTTAAGTAAATAAATTTGAAAACAATAACATGGGTGCAAACCAAAAAATCTTCCAAAAAAGTAAAAAAAAAAAAAAAAATTTAATCAATAAAAAAATGAAAGTTCAAAACATAATTTCTCCTAATTAACACGATCAAGTTATATTATTCCATTGCAATCGCACCAAAATTTTGGATGTTTATTAGAAGTGGAGAAGTAGGTGGTTGGTATGTGTCTATAAAATATTTAAATTGCAAGGGGTCTACTTACATCTCTATGAATAGGTCATAAGCATCACGGGAGCTACATTCCTATCATAGAATATGGAAAGTGCAGTTTTGAATAATGTGTAACATATGCACCCACCCATTCTTGGCATGCCATTATTAAATGTTGAGAAAGAAAAAAAATGAGAAACAAACCAACTGGGTTGATCAGGGCTGTCCTGAGGTAATCGGAGTAGGTGAGCCAAACATTTGTAAGATTTAATTGTTTTATATAATTAATTTGTACATAAAAGGTTGAAAGTTAGATTATGTAAACTTAATTAGTGTATTTGTATCTAAAAACGTGAGGCGTATAGTATTTGATTAATGTTTGTATGTGTTTTTTATTTTTGATATTAATTTTTAATGATATTTGATGTAGAAGAACTTAATAGCAGAAGTAAACCACTTCAATTGTTTCATGTCAGTGAAATAAAGACACGTGTAAGTTTTTTGTTTACATGTTTTTGTTTTATTAGCATGAGACACTACATTGCAGTATACTTGTATCATGTAAGTTGTTCTCGTTAGTGAGAGGTTTGAAGTTTGAATTGCATGGATGGCGGCCATTGTCTAACTTAACACAATTCTTCACCCCTTATTGTAAATACATCATTTTATAAAAAAAAATCCAATCACATAATCTTTTGTTGTTTAAAATTTTGCATAAATACCAATTGGATGTTCAAGATGTATGCAATTATCGCCCAAAGACATTGTTTTTACAGATGTTGCTCAAGTTTGTCTCTTTTTTAGAGGCATATCTTTGTTAACATAGCTGACGAAGAAGATAGAAGTGAGAAAGATACGAGAGGGAGCGAGAACAATGTGGTTGTTATTTGTATTTCTCAATAATGAGCACTCTGCTCTACAACTTCAGTTTTATCTCACTATAACAATCTCACCAATTTAATCAATATAACTAACCAATTTAGGATTGCGACAAGTATCAACAACCCGACACATCACATTCTTCATTATTCTCCTAACAATCTTCACTTCATGACGCTAGACGATTTGGGGTAGAAAATATTTTTACAAGAGTAATGTTATTCATACCATATTTTTGTACCACATTTTCATACCATCTTAGGTGTCATTTGATATGGACAACCACATCATTTGAATTAATTAGATTTTTAAATTTAGTTCATTATTTAATAAACTAATAATTAAGAAAAACTAGTTCATTAAATGATGATTGTAGTACACAAGGAATCTTTCTCATTTATTTCCTTGGGTTTTACAAATTTTTCAAATGATGTGACTGTTCACATCAGATACCACCTAAGGTGGTATAAATAACATTACTCTTTTTTATAATAGCTTATCACCTGGGCTAGGATGGTCAATGATCGTCCATAAATATTTCATCATCATCACTAGCACAAACACCACCACTTATTACCACAACAAACATATATCTAACTTAGATGGACTTCTACTTAGCTAAGTTGGCAATACAACATAATTCCATTGACGTTGTTTTCCTTTGGTTGATCCTCATGAATGAGTAAATACAAATCTTACCCCCCGAGTCATCTGTACGTCAAGAAATTAGTAAAATATCAAAAATGTCTTTAAAACATGTGTAGAGACATGACCCCCGATGCGATTTTACATAAAATAATGATATTTAAGCACACCCTCCCTTTATTAGATATTGTTAGTATAAAATTGAACAAAAATATCCAAAAAGAAAATATCCAGAGAGACAAAGAGAGTACATAGGGTAATGCGAGAAAGATTTAATTTTTTTTAAAGCAAACTTGCAATTAAGTGATGTGGTTATTGATTATTAGAATATTAACTAAGTATCGATTAACATGCTCGTTTTTTTTAATAGCATATTATTTCGTTTACGAATTTTATTTAAAAATTTAATCTCTCTAACATTACCTAAGAATATATATTAAAAGCGTGGGGTCTTTTGTCTTAGGAGTGGTTATGTGTCTATAAAATATTTAAATTGCAAGGGGCCTCCATACATCTCTATGAATAGATCATAAGCTTCACGGGAGCTATATTCCTATCGTAGAATATGGAAAGTGCAGTTTTGAATAATGTGTAACATGTTACATATGCACCCATTCTTGGCATGCCATTATTAAGTGGTGAGAAAGAAAAAAAATGAGAAACAGATCAACTGGGTTGATCAGGGCCACTCTGAGAGTAGTCGGAGTAGGCTGAGCCAAACATTTGTAGGATTTAATTGTTTTATATAATTAATTTGTACATAAAAGGTTGAAAGTTAGATTATGTAAACTTAATTAGTGTATTTGTATCTAAAAACGCGAGGCGTATGGTATTTGATTAATGTTGGTATGTCTTTCTTATGTTGATATTAATTTTCAATGATATTTGATGTAGAAGAACTTAATAGCACAAGTATACCGCCACAATCGTTTCATGTCAGTGAAATAAAGACACGTGTAAGTTTTTTGTTTACATGTTTTTGTTTCATTAGAATGAGACACCACATGGCACGAGCATTAAATTCGTGCCTATGTAAGTTGTTCTCATTAGTGAGAGGTTTGAAATTTGAATTTCATGGATGGCTTGCCATTATCTAACTTAACACAATTCTTCGTCCCCTTATTGTAAATTCATCGTTTTATCTAAAAAAATTCAATCACATTATCTTTTGTTGTTGAAAATTTTGTAAAAATACCAATTGGATGCTCAAGATGTATGCAATTATCGCCCAAAGACATTGTTTTTACTGATGTTTCTCAAGTTTGTCTGTTTTTAGAGGCATATCTTTGTTAACATAGCTGAAGAAGAAGATAGAAGAGAGAAAGATACGAGAGGGAGCGAGAACAATGTGTTTGTTATTTGTATTTCTCAATAATGAGCACTCTGCTCTACAACTTCAGTTTATCTCACTACAACAATCTCACCAATTTAATCAATATAACTAACCAATTTAGGATTGCGATAAGTATCAACAACCCGATACATCACATTCTTCAGTATTTTTCTAACAATCTTCACTTCATGACGCTAGACGATTTGGGGTAGAAGATATTTTTACCATAGCTTGTCACCTGGGGTGGTCAATGAGCATCCATAAATATTTCATCATCATCACTGGCACAAACACCACCACTTATTACCACAACAAACATATATCTAACTTAGATGGACTTCTACTTAGCTAAGTTGGCAATACAACATAATTCCATTGACGTTGTTTTTCTTTGGTTGATCCTCGCATGAATGAGTAAATACAAATTTTACCCCCGAGTCATCTGTGCGTCAAGAAATTAGTAAAATAGCAAAAATGTCTTTAAAACATGTGCAGAGACATGACCCCCGATGCGATTTTACATAAAATAGTGATATTTAAGCACACCCTCCCTTTATTAGATATTGTTAGGATAAAATTGAACAAAAATATCCAAAAAGAAAATATCCAAAGAGACAAAGAGAGGACATAAGATAATGCGAGAAAGATTAATATTTTTAAAACAAAGTTGCAATTAAATGATGTGGTTATTGATGATTAAAATATTAATTAAATGTTGATGAACATGCTTTTTTTTATTTTATTAATAGCATATTATTTCGTTTACGAATTTTATTTAAAAATTTAATATCTCTAATCTCACCGGATAATATATATTAAAATCGTGGGGTCCTTGGATTGGGAAAATTTTTAGGTGTACCGGGTACACCAAAAAAATTTGGTGTACCCTCACTCATTAGAATTTTTTTGGTGTACAAAAAGTGAGGGTGCACCAAATTTTTTTGGTGCACCCTCACCATTATGAGTGAGGGTACACCAAATTTTTTTGGTGTACCGGGTACATCGAAAAATTGCTCCTTGGATTGGTTATGTGGGCACAATTTGTTGCGTGGTCGATGTTAGGTAGCGCGTCGACATGCCGTAAAGGCAGCGTACGTCAGCCATAAATAAATACTACGAGAATCGAACTGCCTATATTACTCGCCGAAATTGCCCAAAGAAAGAGAAGGATTAGGGTTCTGGAGGCATCTTTCTGTGTCATGGGATTGGGACCTTCTCAGATCACATATGTTGCCGACAATTCCAATCGTATAGTTTATGTGTAAGAATGGAAAGTCCATAAACTCGTCGAAATTCAGATTCACGTTTATTTATCTATTTTGATATTCAGATTCTCCTGTATATCAATAAATAAAGGTTTTAAGGAAAATACAAATATAAGCAAACTACCATTCTTTTCACATTCTATTACTTATAAGTACAGGACCATTTATATTTTTATCCCCACATGCCATCGGTGTCTGAAATTGCCATCGGTCACCGTCATTGTCGGCGGAAATGTTTTCAGTTGTTGAAAATCAAGTAATTGTTCACTAGTGAGAGAATTCATTACTTAACATGTTTTTTTGAAGGTTATTATTAGACAGTAATATTGAGATCAAAAAATTTGTTCAATAGAGAAAAAGTTGGCCATTCGACAAACGTGGTAGGATTGAGTGACAATCATGTAATTATCTTGAATTAGAGTAGTAATTACATAATAGTTTTGGTTGACTTTTTCATTGTTACCTGAACTAAAATCATGGTATTTTAGCTTAAAGTTTTCTTAGAATTGGTATTTAAATTAAGATCCCTAAAAAAAAAACTATACAAAATGGCGGTAGCGTTGTTTAAATAATAAAAAATAAACATGTTAAGGTGTTTAAAGCAGGAGAAATTACACACATAGTCAAATTATAAGGCTACATTTTGGAGGGAGATACAATTTATTTATTTATTTTATAGAGGAAAAAACTTATTCATGTAGCAAGTGATGTCATGGTTTTTTTTTAGTTGTCTTTGCATTTACAAGTTTATGAAATATGAGTCTCTTCTCCTTATTTCTCTTATCTTTTTCTCTCTCTCCTCTTTTTTTTTTCTTTGGCACTTCTCTCTCCTCTCTCTCCTACTATGCTTCTCTGTCACCTCCTCTTCTTCTTCGTATTGTTCCTTAAATTTTTGAGTGTTTTTATTTTATTTTATGAGATAGTATCTATGGACATAATAACTATATGCTCCTAATTGCATGAATATGAACTGGTTGAACGAGAGTTATATGGACATAAAGTAATGAAATAAAGTCCTCATAATATTATGATTAGGACACGCATTGTGAATAAGAACATAATATGTCATTGATATGCAAATATGATCGAATAAGTATCTCAAATAATTAGCAAGATAAAATAGTTTATTCATGCTTATTGATTATCACAATTGCTTCTCATACGGGACCTTTCATTTTATCTTACGTTTTATATTCTTTTATTGTTATACGGCACTTAACAATGTAGCATTAATAACAATTAATGTTTGTAGAAAATAAAAAAAAGGTTATAGGAATTAATAATCAAATTAAAGAATAGCAAAAAAAAAAAAAAAAAAAATCAAATTAAAGAGGAAACTGGAAACCAAATCATATGTGTGGGTGTTTCATGGTGGCAGCCGGAAAAGCAATGCACGTCTTCCCAGCTGCGGAGCCAACATGGAGCCATTAGCTATTGCCAACCTCAACAACTTCAAGTACCTCCCTTTCGAATTTGTTTATGACCCCTTTAATAACTAAGGCAAACAAAATAGAGAGATCATTTATTAATAATTTTTTTAATTAAAACAAACCAAAACTACAACCTTACCAAAATAGGGAGTCTTTTTAGGGATCATTAATGTGAAGAATCCATCGGATGGAAAATCAATGTTGAATGATAACTTGGTTGTATACAATGAAAAATGAATGGAGATCAATGGTTAAATGATAACTTGGTTATATAGAATAAAAAATGTATTTGATTCTATTGATAATGATGCTGTAATATGACGTTTCTAAAATATGAGAAGAGGTTGCCAATTATAAATAAAGGTATATTTAATTTTTTTTAAACTTCTTATTCAATTCGTGACCCTATTATTATAAATTTTTGATTCCCCCATTGAATTTTCTTCTGTTTTTGTATTTCAGTTGTCTCGCACAACACCGAAGTGCATAACACTTTTCCTTCCATAATAAATCTGCACGCAAGGCAGATCTGTGACATGTCATCACAGGCATATGCACCCATATAAACGATAAAAAAAACATTAATCCATGAGACGAATCATATAAATATAAAAACTATTAACAATAAGAAGTATATGGATGTATATGTAATACAAGCATCTAATATGTAAAACTCCCTTGATATGAGCCACAAATTCTTCGCACAGCAAGACAGACAAAAGCCATGAATGGTATGTACCAATTTGATAGATGTGGTCAGAGGGGGCGTTTGGGATTTGCAAAAGGTGCAATGGCATAGGGTCCGAATATTTTAGGGACCCCAAAACTTTTCATAATTCTTTATATTACATATGTGTATAAATTTATAATAAAAAAGTTTTAAACTGAAAAAAAAAAATCATCAATCATCTGATTTTATCTATATTACAATTTGATTAAGTGGAGCTTATATTTACTATATAAATTTTCTACTTTTATCTAGCAATAAAAAATTTGTGTATTATTTTCTTCCACTTTTCTATTAAGCAATAAAAATTAACTTGCGTATTACTTTCTTCCACAAATACAAACGTATTTTCATATCTCTCTTTCAATTGTGCTTCATTTTTTTTTTTATAGATGAACCCTAAATCATGATTTTATATTGGAGATTATTCAATTAGTAAAAGTGAGATACTAATTTCAATTAAGTTTGAATATTAATTGTTGAGTTTTGTAAGAATATATTATCCAAAAATATATTTTTTTTAACTAAGAAAACCTTTTTATTAAACTCGCACATGACCCTCACAATGTCAGAGATGGCCCTGGTTGTGGTAGCAATCGGTAGATAATGAAAGCTAGTACAAAATAGAAAGATCATTTATTAATATATTTTTTACTTAAAACAAAACAAAAGTGCAACCTTTCTAAAATAGGGAGAGTTTTTTTTTTAGTGATCAATATTGTGAAGAATCCACATCATATGAGAAATTAATGTTGAATGATCACTTGTTGTATACATTGAAAAATGAATGGAGGTCAATGTTTAAATGATAACTTGATTGTATAAAATGAAAAATGTATATAATTATATTGATAATAATATTACAATACGATGTTTCTAAAATATGAGAACATATCGTTGCTATAAATAAAAGTATACTTAATTTTCAAAAGCTTCCTATTCGTGTAAAATTTATCTCCGTGACTGTTTCTTCCTCTATTTTTGTATTTCAGTTGTCCTCGCACATCAACGAAGAGCATAAACTTTTCCTTCCCTAATGTGCATGCAAGGCAGATCTGTGAGACATCATCGTAGGGATATGCACCCACAAAGGACAAAAAAACATTAACTATGAGACGAATCATAAATATATAATTATTACTAATAAGAGAATCGTTATTAGTACTTCAAAATTTCGTTATAGATTCCCTTATAAGTGCATTTTTCTTCTAATAATAGAAAGTTTGAAGTGTCAAATAAAATTTTTAAAATGCTAATAATAATTCCCATTAACAATAAGAAGAATAAGGATTATATAAGCATGTCGAATGTGTAAGACTCCCTTGATATGGACCACAAATTCTTCGTACAGCAAGGTAGACAAAAGCTATGAATGGTATGTACCAATTTGATAGGTGTGACAGCAATCCATTGATATTGAAAGTCGGTACAAACAAAAAAAAAATCTCAAATTGTACAAGGACGTGTTGATAACGTATTAAAAATAAAGTATGAATAAGACACAAGTGAGAGACGAGAGAAATTAAAGAGTGATTGAGAGGAGAAAAGGGACATCCACATAGAAATAATATTACAACAAATATATATATATATATATAGGACAGATTCAGAACACCACTTTTCTACATAATTTTTGACACGTTTTTGTGAGACCCACTTTTAACATACACACATCCCTTGTTGATTTTTGTATTTTAATTTTCTTCAATCTATTTAATCTATCGATCAGAAATTGAAAGAAGTCTGTTAAAAATAAAAAGGAGCGTGCGGAATAGCACCATCCTTGAATTTATACCTAGCTAATCGTAAACAATCAATAATATATATATATACATATATATATATATATATATAGTTATTTGAAACTGAAACATGCAACTTTTGTTGTGGTTCATAAATGAGTAAGCCGAATTGGGTGAACCACATGCGAAAAATGCTGGCCGGTTCTTGTGTTTTCTGCTACAAATATTCAATACAAAATTTAACTAAGCACCTCTAAATCGTAAACTAGGTGCTTAAGGTAGGCACTTTGAACAACTGATAAATTACAAATACGTGGACACATCTACTGCCTACGGTCGCCAAACTTACGTATGTGCGGTCGCAAGCTTTGGAATCGCCATATGTGTATCCTACAAAATTACAAATACATACATCTACGACCAATGCTGTTGCAGAAACTGGTAACTTCATAAATCTTCACTCACTTTTGCGGAAACTGGGATCTCTGAGATCTTAATTGTTGGTAAAGTGGGCCGACCTTTATCTGGAAACGGAAGCAGCTTACCTAAATACAAGCCTTTTATGATCCAGCTAGCTGGCTGCCACAGGTGACCAACTCAATTCAGAAAAAAGGTGGAAGCTCAATTTTATAGGAAAATAGCATGTGAGCCAATGTACTTGTAAAAGCAATTAATAATTACATACCATCACTGCTATCTTCTGCTCGGACGCGCACTGCCTCAAGTGACGTGATGTCCTACTTTCATCCTCAGCAACAATGGCTCCCAAAGTAACCTTCTCTTTGTCCAAACTGTGGACTAACCACTGGAGGGTTTTAAAGACCTTCCCACCTCCGTGCTGCACAATCCAGAAATATTACCAGAACGAATCAGACTACAGCGAAATGTATCTTCATTGGAAAGCTGGAAACACATGATCCCACTAGATTATGATCCAAACGAATTGGAAGATTACAATTTTTTCCATTCTGCATCACTTAGTGACTCATAGAAATTAAACATTTAGTAAGACCGCAGAGTAAGATGCATGCCATGACCAAAATTTATGAGATAATGAATTTAGTTCCTGCCAAGAGTACCAATTTCACAACTTTGACAGCAGGAGATACACCTTCATTCTACAATAGCTCAACAACATTACATGGGGTAGGAGGAGATGGCAACTAGTGAGAGGGAGAACTTAGAAATGAAACTAAACTAACCAAGATAAAATATGGTGTAATGTTTGAATTTCGGTGACAGATTAAGGTTATAACAACATTAGTGACCCCTACCTTAATTATTTTTGCCAATTTGCTGTAGAAACTGTGCTTTCCGTGAAGCATGATTCCTACTTTTTCAAAGACATAATTGCGGTTGTGGTGAAATGGCTCCCCAATAATGATATGCTCTGCATCAGCTCGATTCGGTAGTATCATGTATCTAACAACAATATTGATTTAGAATCATGAACCATCGAAGTATAAAAACTTACTGGTACAATAAATGCCTACAATAACCAATTAACATGACCACAAAAAGTTAAAGCCCCCGGAACAAAGCAAATAGATCTGGAAAAAGGAGCCTAGGAAATCTATTTACTATATCACAAAAGAAAAAGGCTCCTAGTGTTGCACTGTCCTGTGTCACATGTTCCAACCAGGGCTGTGAAACACAAAGCAGACGCTCCTTTCACCAATACTCTAAACTGTAACCAATCCCCACGACTAAAACAGATGGTAAACCTCCAAGAAAAATGCACCACTTACTTCTTCTCAGGTAGTAAAATACAGCCTGCCGAAATTGAATTAGTAAGCCAATCAACTTTTAATATTAAGGAGTTCACTGCACAACCATACAAAAACTTGGTGGTCTGTAGCTGCAATGAATAAAGAATTAGAGTAGAAATAGGGTTCAAACACATGATAACCAAGTTTGAACTTCAGTCATAAGAAATGAAGTAAGAAAAAACAACCTTATTCATACATAGAATAACGGGAAGATGGTAGCCATTGGATCGTAAGCTTCTTTTTGCCCTTAAATTTGGAGAAGGAATATCAGAAAGAACAATGCCACCATGTTTCCATATTTGTCGTTCAATGTCCTTTTCCTTCTGACTAGAAAATCCTGTAAGCAGGAATTCTATACCATGAAACAGTAATCTCTTCCCAGACTTAAGGTGACAATTTGTACTGCTGCTTCTCTCATGACTTTGAAACTTGGGATGTTTCCATCTTTTACTTGCTCTAGCATTTGAGCCTACATTTAAAGTTTTAGCAACATAATAAATTAGAACGATTTGTAGAGTTCATCAATTAGGACGAAATTTTAGAGAATCAATAGGCACGGCTTACAATATTTGGTTGAAGAATCTAGCTTTTGGAGGTTCTTGTTCTGCTGAACTGCAATATCTGCTTCACAGAAATGAACTCTCTTTTTCACTAAAACATCTCTGTCAGGGAAGTTCTTGCATGCAGATTGTATAGTGTGGAGTTCCTCGTTTTGTTGAAGCTTAACAACATTTTCCGGCAGCAAATCAAGTTTGAGATGTTTCTCCAAAGTGGAATTGTTCATTAAAGGTTTAGAAGCCTGGATACGGAAATGTGACCTATGATTAAAAATAAGAGGTTGCCTCCTCTTTTTCAATGCTTGAATAGGTAGCTCGTTCCCATTTCCTTCAGTCTCGTGATAACTTCTCTTCTGATCTTTCAGTGTTGCAACAGGATTCGCATCTAAGGTAGTTTCACCAGTTTCCCTCATTGTCCTCTTCCAGTAGAATATGAGGATACAGTATTGGAAGGAAGCGACTCTTTATAACTCCTTTTATCAGAAGATATATCGCAAGGGCACATCCTTATTCAAGGGATTCAGCCTCTGATCGAGTTCTAGTTCAAATGACCGATCACGATAGAAGCTTCCTCCATCGAAAATGGAAACAAGGTTTGGGAGAAGCGTACTATATGTCCTGAGTGAAATCATTTGCCTTCGAACTGTGACTGGAGAACTGCTCACCATTAATTGTGGGCATAGATGGCCCGTCCTCATGGGGAAATTTAATAATTGGATTTGACGATTTGTGTGAATTCTCCACCGCAAGTTGCTGTGTGGGTCTGAAGCATTCTTCATTATGATTTTCCTTATCCTTCTGATTGTGAGCTAATGTAAGACTAGCATTTTCTGAAGAAATACTGCACGGGACAACAGAACAAAGAGGATCTACTGAAGATAGGCTAGAAGATGTCACCACATCTTGAGAGAGCATTATCCCATTGTTATCTTCGTCATGTAAACCAGAAAAGGCTATGCTTGACTGTGATGTTCTATAAAACTTGGTGTCATGCACTTGCACAAAAGAGTTTACGTCTGGAGCAATATCTGCCGATTCTGAGAAAAAACTCGTCTCACCAGCAAAACACTTCATCACACTTTTAGTATTCTGTTTCAATTCTGGAGTAGCAGATGCATCCTGCCAAAAGGTATATTTGAAAAGGAACAAAAAACAAAAATATTATCAAAAACAAGAGAAGCAACTACAATAACAATGATGCTAATGATCATATAAATGTTGCATTAAATAGTAAGTATGAATGATCTCACTAAAGCCAATAACACCAAAATAGTAAATATGCAACCTGAATAACTGCTTACAGGAGGTTTTAATTTAACAGTGGTATGTTTAATCTTGAATATTAATGTCAGGCAGGATGGTATAATGCATACAGTAGATATGCTTAAAACAGGAAAGGAATCTTGACATGTAAAAGAAGAAAAAGTGGTCACGTAAAGCTTCAAAACTATAATAGTTCCAACTGCTAGTATTCAGTGGAGTTGAGAGGGAAAGTATATGGCACATTCAGAAAGTACAGGAAATGGCAAGTGACCCTTTACTACAATGGTGGAAAAGTATTGAGCCCTGCATGACGGCATGGGTTCGAACCCCGTCGGTGACTAATTTAACATCTAATCGAACAAAATCTATCGTTTGACAAAAAAAAAAAAAAAAAAAGTACAGGAAATGTGAAGAGATAGTAGCAAAATAAAAATAAGCTTGACGATAATGGTATCTTAAGAAGCCATTGAATTATATGAATAAATGTAAGTGGTAGACCAAAACTTACCAACAGCACGGGCCTCAAAACTTAGATGCCCTTAAAGAATGAGATTAAATAAACCATGTTTTAACGTTGTAAAAAGTAAAAGTGATCTTAGCAAATATGGTTGGATTTCTAGTCTGTATGTGATTAAGGAGACAAAACAAAGGGGAAATATTAAAAGCAGTGATATAAGAATAAAAATCTTTAAGGTATTCTAGAATTTTGCCAGTATCAAACAGGTTACAGCATAAGTTTCTAAGCTCTCATCTAGGTCTAGAACAATACATATAGAATTAACTTAATATTGGGGTAAGTGTAGATGCGTAAGATTGAAACTGAATGCAAATCAAAAAGTAAAGCACACACCTGGCCTGTCCAACCCCCTAACCACCGGCTCCTGAATCTGTTCGAAGCTAAGTAACTTACTGTATCTTCTCCCTCTACGGGACATAGAAAGCTTAATAAGAAGATAAATAAATAGCAAGAAATAAAGAATACACACATATGCCTAATCAAGAGTAGGGAAAAAGGAGGCGCATGGAAAAGGAAACGTTTCTCACTAGAGTTCCCTGAATTCCAAGCTTGTGGGCGGAAGTTTACATTATTTTGAGGCTGAAATGATGCTACATCCACCATAGCGCCAACTGTCTGGAAGCTAAACTTACAGAATTAGTTAATAAGTCCCAATTGGAATGAGATAAAAAGTCCAACATGCACAGAGAGAAACGACAGTCTAAACTAATTACAATAATAAAGATTTTTTTTTGTTTTTTTTTCTAAAAAAAAAAAAAAAAATATATATATATATATATATATATATATATATATATATATCAGTTTTATATATTAGATAAGAGGAGAATGGGAGATCAGAGAAGGTGAATATGATTTTACCTGCTTCATGATAAAACCATCTGAATTTTTTAGAGCTGAAGGATCATATCTGGCCACACTGATATTTGAACCCAGAACAAGCTTATCATGAAACTGTTTCCTCTCATAGTTGACGGATTCTGGAGGGAAGTTCCCTCTTGATTTGAGATCCATAACCAAATTCTGTCCTAGTTCTTTTTGCATAAGGATATCATCAAACTTGACACATTGAGCCCTGAACTCTGAAGAATCAGATAGATTTACACACTCATGCAGAATTCCAGAGAGAGGGGTCTCTTTCACTTGAGAAATAGCTGAATCACATGCACACTCATCAGAAGGTATGCTCTGAGACAGCCCTACATCTTTATATACATCAGCCATGGTGAAATCATCCAAATCTGAGAGAGAATCACAATTTTCAGTTTCCTCAGCTGGGCCATCCGAGGAATCATCTAGCCACTCCAATCTTGCTTTCTTTACTTGAAGGGCTGCTTCCAGTACCACTGCTGTTGGCAATACGTCCGAAGGCAACCCACTCCCCATTATTTCATTTATAACCAATGCTTCAGATGCTGCAATGGAGAGTTCAACTGCATCAGAGATGTCAGCTGCTTTCAGGTACCTGGTATCAAGCTTTTCATCAGAATGACTTGCTGATTTCTTGTTATTGGAGGGGCAGGGTGGAACAGTATCCTCCCTGGGTTTTTCAATGGACTTTGGAGGTAAAGAATTTATCCCACCAACATTTATGCCAATTTTGGAGCAGCTCTTCAGTTCGGAACCCACTGAGGTGTTATTTAGTTGCACGGAGAGAACTGTATTGGATTCAAGATGATTTTGAGAAGCATCCAAAGGTTGAAGTGGGCTACATTGTGAATATCCATTTGATGAAAGATGAAGATGGAAATGAAGTACCTATACAATAAAACAGATGTACATTAGTGTATTTTTGGTAAAGGTAGAGGCCTACGTACCCAGTTTAGGCATAGGCACAGAACTAATAATCCGGGCATGTTGTTTACTTTCTATGTTATTTTACTAGCCTTTAACTTTTATTGTTTCCTTGTCACTGTAAGATCTTATTTTAGATTGTGTATACAGGCCATTCTTTGTACTTGAATCATAGTTTTCACATTGATTAGAGAATAGAAGATTGTAGTCAAATAAAATAGCTCTTGTTTTTCTATACTATGTTACCCTTCTCTCTGTTTACGATCAGTATGCACAAATTCATTGAAGAAGGGAAAATATTAACCCTAGCTGCAGTGTGTTTCATCACGTGGTATAAGTAACCATTGACATTATGTAGCATTTTTCATGTACAATCAAATTTCTCATCTCTAGCTTCTTACCTCTAAAATATTCTTTGATTATACAAGATAAAAGTTTCAATATTTGATGAAAGTACTGAAGCTAATTTAATTGAAAACAGAATCCAGAATCCATCTCCTGTTTGAGAGACAATTTGTTTGATTCTAAGATTCCTCTAATAGCTCAGGTACATCTGTCAGCTAATATGTACAAAGATTTACATTTCCAGAACGTGGTTTCAAAGCATGCTGTTATGTTAATATATCACAAATTTAACACTAACTTCTAAAAAAGAAAAGTGGACCGATTTGTGAATTGATAGGACATAGTTAACAACATAAGAAAAACAAAAGTAAAATACAGTCATGCTTAAGAGCTTACATTTCCAGGAGATGAAGCAAAGCTAACTGCAGAATTGTCTTCCCCAGATAAGAATAAATGACAGCTTTTGTACGCAACTTCCTCGTGTGAAAATGTATTAGCATCTTTTCCTTCACTAGTGTTTCCTTGAAAAATTCTCAAATCCTATTTAGTGCAATAAAGAAGACACATGAGAAAAGAGTTTAACCAATCCCCGCCTCTCGGCTTTAGAACAAGCAGTAAATGTTAGAATATGGTTGGGATGGGTCTAGTTCCAACCTTGGACGCTAGCTCTAAGTTGGTACCCTTAGGTTCGTTGGTGCATTCATCCAATTGTTCTTTCTGGTGCTGCTGAAGCCAACCAGGAAGCCAAGCTAAATCCTGTAATTAGGAAAAAATTGAACATCATCATTGATTAACATAAGTAATCTCGGTAGTGTATATAACTCATCAATGTTATCATTAAACACAATAACTCGTATCTGTCTCCAAATTTGATGCTTCTATTGCCTCTCTTTTTTCATTACACCCCGTTCTGAAAAGGACTTTCCCATGCTTCCTTAGTAAAATTTAGTTTACTCGTTTTTTAACTTTAAAAATTAAAAATTAATATGAGAAAAAACAAGGAAGAAGATTAAAAAAAAGGGAAAATCTTAGTGGCATGGACTTGCTTCCAATCAAAACGTCTCAGTCAGGCTATCAAACGATTCTCCGTAAGCCTTCAGTTGTGGTATACCTTCTACTAAAAGCTCCATTTACATAACAAAACAAAAGCTTTAAGAACAAAATCCCCTCTCATGGCACCTCGAACAACATACGAAAAAAACACCCTTTCACATTCACTTCGTAAAAATCAGCACATCAATAAAACTAAATGGGAAAAATTGATCTCATTTAACATATATAATTATAAAAACTAAACCACACTTTGGGTTCCGATCTTTTCCAAACAAGCTTGATATAATTTAAGCGAAACACTTGTATTACTCGTTCTACATTCAAATTCAAACTTTACCCAATTCATTTTACTACCAGAAAACCCAAGGAAAACAAATGAATCAAATTATAAAGTGTCTATTTTCTACGAATTAGCATCCGAAATGCCTAATTGGTCCACTTAAACTACCCTAAATCAACTAATCGACTTCAAAATTTCACCACTCCTCTCTACCTTTTCGAAAATAGTAACAGTAAAATAAACTAGTTCATTATTTTGCTCCAATTTCTCGGCAGCCGAACAAATGGTAAAATCCAGTCTTAGCAGAGTGGTAAATGAGGAAGAAAGGTAGAAAGACGCACCTCGGAGAACTGTGGAGGACGAAACCCTAACGTGTCGACAGAATGAGACATAATTAGCTGCTCCGCCCCTGCCGCCGCCTTGTGTTTACGCGCGCAGCTACCCCGGGTACGTCCCCTTATATCGAGGAGGACTCATTGGCGCCAAGAAGACTCGAATTTGGCGGGTTTTGGAGTAGATTTTTCCAAGGGGTAATTTTAGGGAGTTTAACTCTTAACCTCATGTAATTACTGAATTTTCTTTTTATATTTTTGTTAACAAACAATGTTTTACACTAATCTATATTAAAAGGGTGAGAAATTGAGTTTGTGACGCATTGAGTTCAAAGACTTTAACCACCAGAACAATCCACCACTTACTACAATTATAAAAATTAAAAAATTAAACTTTGTAACAACTCTCCGTCGACAACTGTAAAATTTTTGGTAATTTTATTTCAACTCAACCATTTTTTCATTTTAGTGATTGACATTAAATTTTTGTCTAGACATAACATTTGTCATTATTTGAAGGCTAAGTAGCACAATAGATCATACATGCCTCCAACCAGTGTTTTTAACACATGCTTGGAAATACTTATCTATTTATTTTTTATTTTTTATTAAATCTTGGAAATACTTCTCTATATAGCACTTTTGCTCTTAAGCACTTTTACTCCAAACACTTTCTTTTAGAAGCATGTTGCGATTTTAAATGCTTCTTAAGAAGCGCTTGAATTGCTTCATGAAGAAGCACGTGCTTCTATAAAGCTTTCTATGTTCCGCGAGCATTTTTAACTTTTACGTGTAAATGTTGACATTAAAAGTGCTTTGAGTTACTTGAAAACGCATTTAGCGATTTTAAAAGCACTTACAAAATCTGTCATTTCTCACAGCCCGTATTCTTCCAAAATGACATTCCCCACAACTTGTGTACTTTGATTTACATTTTGCTGTTCAAAGATGTATCACAACATACATCCTAATAATTACTCAGATAAACTGGTGATGAGAAAGAAGAAAAGCTTTTAGTAAATTTTACATATCAGAAAATTCCAGCAGCTTCATTGCCTAAGAGATATTGCTGACATCGCTCGCAGAAGGCTCCGGCAGAACCTGTGACTCAACCTGAATCTGGGAGGGTTCCGGCTGGGAAGATTCAACCACACTTGGCGCCAAGGCTTCGATTGTCTCCGGTTTGAACTTGTTGATGTAGTAACTAAGTGATGGCCCAGAGTAATCTACCTTCTGCACCACCGGAGGTGAGTTCTTACCTACTTGGAGGAGTACCGATGAAGCTGCAGCAACAGCAATGAGGGCAACCCCAGCTGCGATTGCTGCTGTGTTCTCAGCTCCATCGGCAGAAGACCCTGCAGTTCCTGAGCTTATCACGCTTTCTGCTACGTAAACTGCAGGCTGGAAAATGTAGACAAGCTAAGAAAGTTGGCGCACTGTAACGTGACATATACTCGAGTCTCGAGCAAGCAAATAAGAGAGGAAAAGAAACAGAACAACCAAACCCTATGAACTGATAGCCACTATATACATTAGTAGGTTTCAAACATCTCTTTTGAGGGTGTGGTTAATGAACTTTGTATACCCCTCTGAAGCATGCGCGTTACAAGAGTTATGATCAACGTTTTCAGCTTAAAGTAAACTATACTCCCCACATCCTGAGGCAAGACTTATTTACTAGTTAAAAAAAGATACAATAAAGAGAATGACGTTCACCATTTTCTCAACAGCAACTTTCAATTTCTTCCATTCCAACTAAAATACTCGATTAAGCTAATGATCCATCAGTTTTAAGCATTGCTGAATCTCATGGTAATTCACTACACGTCTTGTCAGGAGGCAAGACTTATTTACTAGTACAAGAATATGACAAACAGAATGATGTTTACTACCATCTCTACAACAGCTCTCTAATTCTGCAATTCTATAGAAATAATCGATTAGGATACTAATACATGATGCTCGGCATCAGGAAGAACTACAAGTTTACTTTCAAAATTTTCCAATATACAAAACCCAAAAAGTTTGGTCATATGAACTGAAAATTTGGTCTTGTGAAGAAGATGTCAACTGTGATTTTACATTTTCTGTTGGCATTACTTTTCTCAGGTCACCCTTGTTTTTTGATCTAATATATCATCGCTCAACCAAGCTCTGAATAACTTTTCAGAGGTTTTTTTTTTTCTTTTCGTAATGATCAGTTATAATCATTCTGTCCGGTACATTCAATGTTTTTTTGGCTTCAAAATTTCAAATAAGAAATAAAACACCGATTTCTCAAAGAAAAAACAACAAAAAACGGAAAGGTAAAAAGAGGCAGAATGCAGAAGTCTAGCAGAGTGTAAAAATTCAATATTTACTAACCTCCACAGAATATATGTTTGTCTGTCCAGCAGTGTCCTTCTCAACGTATCCAGTCCAACCCCGATTGCGGGGTGGAAATGTCCCAGAAATTTTTGTCTTCTCACCAGCCAACCATTCCACGCTCACTTTTCCAACCTATTCACACCACAAGAAAAATATCAAAAATATATTTGTTTAATTATCCTTTTTCTGTCAAGTAGAATGCCAATAAACATGTCATTGACCCTAGAAATCCCCCGCTCTTTAATTGTCAGTTTTCGTTCCTGGTCAGATTTGTTTTCCATGAGAAAGACAGACTCGTGTGAGGAAGAAGGATGTGGACACCACAGCTTGGAACACTAGGACCCAAAGAATAGTTCAACATTTGTGGTTTGAGAGTTTCACTCCAATATGTTTTGATTTCTTAACCGATGGTTGGAAATCTTTTCTCATCCACATATGCCTATGGGCTTCCGCTGGTCGCAGAGATTTACAAACTAACTTCTTTTCATTGCAATTATCGGTGCAAAGGGAGACTCGGATAGTATACCAACAGCTTCAAGGCATGGGTGAGGTGAATCATAACAGGAATTCTAAGGAATAACTTGCTATTAAAGTTCCAATTATGCTACAAAAACAACAAAAAACTATTTCAAATTCCAGATTCCATCAAAGACCAAGAGTAGTCGAGTTGCCTCTTCCCTTCGGGAAGTCACTCTTCAAACTAATGCCATGAGGATGCGCGGTAGATAAGTCCACAAAACAAACACAAAGACCACGCAAAAATCTTCATTTATTTGTCATCAAACATATTGGTTTGCAATGTGATTGAAATCCTGAATTAGCGTCCTAGGCAGTAACAACTCTCCCCAATTACTACAGCAAACATAACTGGAAGTGAAAAATTAATCGGGAAAATGACCAATTACATATAGTTAAACTTAATCCTAAATTAGGGTATCTGTTTTCTGTAGAATCCAATCCAGTAATCTGAGATTACCAACCCATCGCTGCAAAAAGCTCCAACATGGATGGGTTAAATTCAAAACTTTTGCTTGCCTTAATTAATCAATTAATTTAAGTCACAGAAAATAAACACATCCAGCATTAAGATCAAAAACCATAAACAATCTTACAACAAACACCTAGGTAGAGTTTATATGCATACATATGTAGAATCCAATCCAGTAATCTGAGATTACCAACCCATCGCTGCAAAAAGCTCCAACATGGATGGGTTAAATTCAAAACTTTTGCTTGCCTTAATTAATCAATTAATTTAAGTCACAGAAAATAAACACATCCAGCGTTAAGATAAAAAACCATAAACAATCTTACACCAAACACCTAGGTAGAGTTTATATGCATACATATGTATATATACATATATGTGAGAGAGAGAGAGAGAGAGGGTGACCTCCTTGTCAGGAGCACATTCTTCCACATTACAGTCAGCATCTTCGGTGGAAGCTCTAACTACTGTGAGATGATTAGCTTTATGAAGTTTTCTGGAGAAGAAGGAGCTCCTTTGTTGTGTAGGAAATGTGCATGTGAATGTGTTTGCTGCTGCAATCAGAGCTTGTGCTGCGGCTGCCATTGTTTGCAGAATAACACTCAGACACTCAAATGCAAAGTAAATTTTGTTGGAGAGTTTTATTGTGGAGAGGAGAGGCAGAAGGGATGCAGTGGAGGAGGAGGAGGAGAGGGAGGGATGATATTTTTGGATGAGGATCCTCTTCGGATGCACTTTGCGGGGATCCTAGGGATTCCTACATCCTAACCGTTCATCGTAAATCGTGCGGTCATTTTTCGTCAGATACTATTTATGTTTAATTTTAAATAAAAAGTGAAATTATTTTTGACCGCACGATACATAATGAATGGCTAAGATGTGAGAATTCCTAAGGCACTCACAAAATGATCCGGATGGAATCCAAATTCCGATATTTTTCCCACTTGCGGATTGGGTGTCCTTTGCTTTGCGTCGGAGGTTTGGTGGATTTTAAGATGGCTACGTCATCTAAATGTTTTTTGGTCTTTTTATTTTTGTTGACCTTTTTCCTTTTTTCTTAAAAATAAACTGAAACAAATTACAAACAGTGAAACGAAGATTCTCGGCGGATCTTAAAATCATACGTTTCAACATTTAATCTTGAAAAGACGAAACTAGGCTAATTATTGAAAATATGTAATCGATTTAAGATTTTAATTTTAATCTATGCTCATGTTAAAGAAATTTGATTGTTCATCACATTTATTATTGGATTGAAATTCAATTGTGTTCATTTAGTTACGTCAAATTTTTAAAGTATTTGGAGTAAAAAATTTTATTATAACACTACTATTTTTGAGTGACATAGAATAAAGCAAAGTTAATCTTAATTTGCATAAAACTTTAGCGATTGTAATTCACACTGCACCAAAAAAGAGCTCACATGGCTTAAGATGAATTCAAAATGCACCCACAATTCAATTGCCTTTGTTTTAATTTTTCAATTATTTTTTTCTTATGAACTCAAAATGCACAAAATATAATATATCAAAACACAATAAACTCTCATTTTTTGGCATCTCTCGTTAGTTCAATGTGTATTTTCCGTAGCAAAACATTAAACACAATAAACTCTCATCTTTTGGCATCTCTCGTTAGTCAAATGTGTATTTTCCATAGCAAAACGTATGAAATCACCGTTGTACCCTCTTGAATTTTATTTTTTATTTTTTATTTTATTCAGTTTTATAGGAACGTTGGGATGAATTCTTTCTTGGGATTAAAAAAAAAAAGAAGTTATTTAACGAGTTTTGCCACAAAGATACATATTGGATCACCGAAAGATGTCAAAGGAGAGGAGACCATTATATTTTGATAAGACCAAATATGAACATTTTGAGTTATTAAAAAAACAACTAGCTGAAAAAATTGAAATTTGAGGTTTTGATGAGACTTAGGGCTGGTTTGGTATTGCTGTGCTTTGAAAAAAAGCTGCTTCTGCTGTGCTGTGAGAATAAGCAGCTGTGAAATAAAGCAGCAGAGTGTTTGGTAAACTTTTTTGTAAAAGTGCTTTTGAAAAAAAAAAGCAGTATTAGAGTGTTTGGTAAACTTTTATGTAAAACAGATGTGAAAAAAAGCCAGTTTTTCAAAGCTAGGTTTTGCAGCTTCTTGTTTTTGGCTTTTTTTCATCCAAAACTGTGAAAAAAAGCTGAAGCTGAGTGTTTACCAAACACAAAAACAGCTCCCAGCTTTTTTTGATAGCAGCTTTTTTCAGAATCACCTCAGTACCAAACCAGGTCTTAAGGTCATCTCCAATAGAGAAGTCTAAAGGTCTAAAAGTCAAAAAATGGATTGCTTTGCCAAAAAATTCATTTTCAACCAATGACTGGGCCATAATTCTTTGAAATCCACCGGGCCATTATTTGGCCGAAAGGTCATTAGGGCCAAATGTAGCCCCCTCTTAGCCAATTTTTAGGACTCAGTTCCTCAGTTGTAATAATTCATTCAAATTCAACGATTATATTTGAAAAAAAATCTAACGGTAGTTTAACTAAATTACCAATAAATTTAAGGTATAAACTTAAAACTAATAAATTATTTAGAGGGGCTATGTTTAGTCCTTTCGGTTGGAGATGATACATGAGTATGGCCTGACACTGTTCATTAAAAAGTATTTTTTTTGCAGACTATAATTCTGGAGAAGTTATGTTTAGTTCTTTCGGTTGGAGATGATCTAAGTACGTGCGTGCTGAGTTCTTATGCACCGACCACGATGTTCTGAGTTCTTATGCACTGACCACGATGTTCTGAGTTTGGAGTCGTCAGCATTTGCTTTATGTTCTGCATACGAGTATATTATGGCAAACAGAGTCTCTGACCCAACCCATATTTTTATGGAGTTAGGAGAATCTGTCATGGATCGATCCAGACCGGCTCGACGACAAGACTTTAGGCTCGCGAACGCAAGTAAAGCAAGCAATGTGGTGCTGATGCATGCTTCAATGTACTGCGACATTCGTACGGTGTCAATATTTCTGGTCGTTACGATCTGAAGAGTGGCATCGAAGAACGCTTGGGGGAACTATATGCAAAGAATCAACGACGATGGATTCATGGTGGTTCGAGATCCATAAAGGAAGCTCTGCAGGAGGACAGGGCTACTTCCGAATAGGAATCAAATATGATATTCTCTATTTTTTGTTACGTATCTGACCGTGATACGGTGAATGTACGTAAATGCATGTACTGTAACCAAGTTCGTAAATTACTGAGTTTTGAGAAAATTTGATTTGTTTTGTTACCCAAGAAATCTGAGAAAATTTTATCCAAAAAAAGGGACAAGGCAGAAAAAAGAAAGTATCGTCGTATACTATATAACATAAACCAACAGTACATAATGCATCAAAGAAGACAGCACTCCCGACAATATTAAAACCTTTACGCGCTTGTTACCAAAGGGCCACTCGAACTGCAGAGGCTCCAGAAATTGCAATCACGCTGTGGATGCCAATATAAGAGAGGACGTTATGAAAGATCGATCAGACGAAGACATGATCAATCGTTTACAAACCTCAAATCCCACTTTCTGCACTCGCCACACCAGTCTTACGTTACACGGTACACCACTTCATCCCATTATGCAATCCACTCGCGAATCTTCCCCCTCTGAAACTGATGCACCCTTAGTTGAGGAAATCTCCAAACCTAAGTTTTCGTCTTTGTGAAGCTGAAATATTTCTGAAGCTTCTTCAAGATACTTGGCCGCTTAGCTAATGTTTTTCCGGTACCCTTTTGTTCGCGTGCAAACCAAAACTCACCTTCACCTAAAAGAAAAGCCTGAAGAATGGACAAGAGAAAAAGAAAACCACAGGGGAGATTAAACATGTAAAAAAAACATACACGATAAGGTTACAAGCTGATAGAAATGCGTCCGAACAATGCAGAAGTGAATTTCATCCAATGATCCAAAAGATGCTGCTAATTTATAGCGCTAACATGAACATTTACATTTTCATAATATCTGATCAAACAGTGATCCCTTTTATAACTTACAACTAACCAGAACAAAAGATGCAAAGAAGAAGAGCGTCTCCACAGCCTCACATGTGCTGTTAAACAGCAGCTCAATGCATACCATATTTAACTGAAACATTTATTTTTTGTACATTAGCATTGCATAATGTGGGAAAATTCTCAAATACAAAGTATTAAAGATATGTATGGTGCAACTTCATGGCATGGAGATGATGCATTTACTAAAGCATGGGATGGAGAAGCAAGAAATACAGCAATGAAATTGCAGCAGAGAAATCAAAAGCTAGAGAGCTTCCTAAAAGGACGGGCAAGGAAACTGAAGATAACGTCTGTTGGATTCCCACACCAAAATATGCACTTTGATTCATCAACAGAGCCCTAAAAAGAAATATAAACTTTGACGTTACCATTTACCCAAACTTTCATGGATATCATTTGTCGCAGTTACCAATCAATCAAACTGAGTTTTCAACCACAGCCTAATGTTTTCAGGTGCCTAGTCTCCATAACTTACAGCCCCATTAAAACATTTACCACTCAGAGAGAGTGCTCCACTATCTACATGTTCAATAGTCATCTTTAACAATACACAGAAGAAGGCAATATTATGATGTAGTTATGGAAACCCTTTCACGATCAAGAGCTAAAGCTATGATTTAGCTTGGGATAAATAGAAAATTAGAACTTTTAAGTAATGTCTTATAGCTTTGGGAAAATGAACCTGATTAGTGATCACGACTTCAGTACTAGCCTACTTGGACTTGCAAAGCAATTTCACTCGTTAAATTTCAACCGCGTCAAGTTACCTTTTTATGTTCATCCTGTTAGTGTATAAGCATTGAGCTAATCTGAGTTCAGTAAAATAAGCCTTGAGTTTAGTTGTGTATCCACTTCGATTATTTTCACCAAGCGTAGGGCTCATATTGTAATTATGTCTAAGTGACATGTGTAAAGATCCTAGAACTTAGCTAGATGTGTGGCTGGGATCATTTCCTGATGTAATGGTGAGAATCCAGATGCATAACTAACCGTTATGCATTGTTGTGTGTGTGAGAGTGTGAATACAGAAAAGGAAGAACATTCTCTGCAATTTTGCAGAGAGTGAAGCACCCATATCCATCTTCATTTTTTCTGTGATTTCCTCTTCTTCTCTTAAAATTAGCACACTCTAAATCAAACTTCAACATGGCCTTAGAGCCAGGTTTGATCAATTGAGATCGGGGCGTGAACTATGAAGTGGACGTCATCGACGTTGAAGCAATCGAGCTACACTCAAGTTCGTTTTGGTTCAAGTGATGTCGCTGGAACTCCATAGAAACCTAATTCGATTTGTGTTCGTATCATCTAAGCTAAGAGATGGCTGGATCTGGAAGTTATGAGGTGAGAACTCCGATCTTCTCCGGTGAGAACTACGAGTTCTGTAGAATCAAGATGGTGACGATCTTCAAATCTCATGGGTTATGGAAATTAGTTGAAAAAGGGGTCACGACCTCAGAGTCAAAGAAGAAGAAGAAGGTTGAAGGAAGCTCAGAAGAGGAAAATGATGAGAAAACAGTGGCTGCTTACATGTAAGACGCAAAAGCTCTAGGTATTATAGAGAGTGTGGTCTCAGATCAAATATTTCCTCAAATTGCCAACGTCGATTCAGTGAAGATGGCATGGGATTTGCTATATGGAGAATACCACGGTGGTGATCAAGTATGGTCGGTTAAACTCCAAAATCTTCGACGTGAATTTGAGTATACTAGAATGCGTGATAATGAATCATTATCTGTGTATCTTACACGTTTGAATGAACTGATTAACCAGATGAAGACGTTTGATGAAGTGTTATCTAATGAAAGACTTGTGCGAAAGGTTTTAATTAGTCTTAGCAAACCCTATGATCCCATTTGTCTTGTGATTGAGAACACAAAATGTATAGAGACTGTTGAATTACAGGGGGTTCTAGCAATTCTTAAAAGCCAGGAACAGCGTTTTGATATGCACACTATGAAAACTCACCTTTTGCACAAGATGCAAAGAAGAAGAGCGTCTCCACAGCCTCGCATGTGGTGTTAAACAGCAGCTCAATACGTACCATATTTAACTGAAACATTTATTTTTTGTACATAAGCAGTGCATAATGTGGGAAAATTCTCAAATACAAAGTATTAAAGATATGTATGGTGCAACTTCATGACATGGAGATCATGCATTTACTAAAGCATGGGATGGAGAAGCAAGAAATACAGCAATGAAATTGCAGCAGAGAAATAAAAAAGCTAGAGAGCTTCCTAAAAGGACGGGCAAGGAAACTGAAGATAATGTCCGTTGGATTCCCACACCAAAATATGCACTTTGCATTCATCAACAGAGCCCTAAAAAGAAATATAAACATTGACGTTACCATTTACCCAAACTTTCATGGATATCCTTTGTCGCAGTTACCAATCAATCAAACTGAGTTTTCAACCATAGCCTAATATTTTCAGGTGCCTAGTCTCCATAACTTACAGCCCCATTAAAACATTTACCACTCAGAGAGAGTGCTCCACTATCTACATGTTCAATAGTCATCTTTAACAATACACAGAAGAAGGCAATATTATGATGTAGTTATGGAAACCCTTTCACGATCAAGAGCTAAAGCTATGATTTAGCTTGGGATAAATAGAAAATTAGAACTTTTAAGTAATGTCTTGTAGCTTTGGGAAAATGAACCTCATTAGTGATCACGACTTCAGTACTAGCCTACTAGGACTTGCAAAACAATTTCACTCGTTAAATTTCAACGGCGTCAAGTTATTTATGTTCATCCAACCAAACTCAACCAAAGGTACCTTGAACTACTCCCACCTAACTGAGCTTTGAAGATCACAATATCAGGTTTAGGCCACCTTTAGATGAATCAACAACCGAGAAAGTCATGGCACAAAATATCCATTGAAAAATATACATTGCTGACTGCTCATCACATCCTTAAAACAGTACAGGATCAATCAAAGATGATGCATCCAAGGAGACAGAAGTAAATACAGAAAACAACTTGGGGATCTCTCCTATAAAGTCATTATCAGATAACAAAATACACTTGCTAGCCTGCAATATAGTGCAATCAAAGGACTATAGAAGCATGAGTTAAACACACAGAAGAACTAAACAATATAGTTACCATCAGTTACAACATCTGGAGGAGATCCAACAGAACCCAACAGCTTAGGCCTGCTTATCCAGTACTGTTGAAACCTCTGCCTTGCATATTCCATGTAGTCAAAGTCAATTTCATTCACATGTTCCTGGAAAAATGAATGCATGATCACTATTTCCTCCAAGAAACAAATGAATGCATGTTACTATTTCCTGCCAACTTAAATATAGCCACAGGAAAGTATTGCTACGCATTATGTATATCAGGTAGGAGGTAGGTAAATCCTTGATCACAATTAAAATCAGAAAGACATCCTATCATGGACAGGATAGCTTATAGGATAAACTATCATATAAAGAACGCAAGCGTTAGCACTCATTATGGAAGCCACAAGAGTGCAAGTGCCTAGTCAAAGTGGCAATAGGTTTCTATGATAATAAGGTTCAAGCCACGAAGACTATGTTGAAACGACAAGTACCGAAATGATTCCCCATAAGCCCCAAAAGAGATGGCTTGCAAGAGTATAGTTCTCAACGTCTTGAACCAGCCGCTCCACTTCGCTCTCAGTAGGTTGATTGCCTGCATACAAATCCCACAATTCAGAGAAAATCAAATAAATTCTTCCAATTTCTTGAGGGAGATAGAGAAATTACAACATAATCAAGAAAATAATATTACCTGAAGAACTCAGATACAAACGAACAAACCGCTGACGCTCCTCCGAACCTGTTGTGAGTGGCAGGTCAAGTTATAGCATGGAAACAGAAGGAAATAAAACAAGATAGATATAAAAACATGTGCCACAACAGATGACAAACCAGGATATTTTCTGTAGTCCAAAATATGAGGTGTATCAGTGTGATAGTCAGCTGCCATCTCACAGAAATGATTCGCTATGTCAAATGCTACAGCATTATAACTTGCATATTCATAGTCCTGGCATGAAAGGTAAATATAATATCAGAACCAAAGAATTTTATCACTGTTGTTCATGCCCTATTGCACATTGTAGATGACATACTTGGATATTCCATATATGCCAACAAACATGGTGCTCAATTTGCTTCCCAAGAAATGAAAAAAAAGAAGAAAATTATAGAACTTTCTTATAGAAGTCAGTCAAATCCATACTTCCTTGGTAAATGAATCCTTTCATCGATACATCATACGCGACGACGCTTAAACTTTAAACCTATATACATACATATAAAAACTGAAATACTATGTCCAGATGATTAATGATGATCTCAGTCCCAATCTTTTTCTGGTATTGTTCACAAGTTGGATTATATTGTGAATTTCACAGACACGAGCTATTTGAAATACTTGGTATCCTTTCTAGTAATGACATCTCCCATACTAAAATTAGGAAATCATCTAAGCATAGTACAGATAACTAGGCATTCTATTGTTGCATGTAAATGAAACGTCTTAACAACTTACTTGAATCGAAATTTAAAGATCAAATGAAAAATAAGATTTTGCTGCCAAAATTCAGGTGAGAAAAAAAAAATTGAAATTCAAAGCAGAATGAGAAACTTACGATTAGGGTTATCAATTTACTCTCTTCCTCAAGCATTATATTACCATACTGTAAATCATTGTGGCAAAAACCAATGCGTTGATGAGGCCCTGAAAGCTCTTTCTCCAGTAACGGGATTTCCTTTCCAATAGAATCTAACTGAAAGGAGTTAACTTCTTCTGGCGTAGACAATCTCTTGGCCGTACTGAGCCAATTTCTGGGGCATTTACAAAGAAGTGAGTGAAGCTATAATAACAGTAGGAACAGTAATTTATGCGACAAATTAAGCTCATTTAATTTAGACACATAGCATTATCTCAATTTTTCAGAGAATAATAGAGCAAAAACAAAGTAATGTACCGCAATCTATCCCAGAGGGTGACAACCTTTGGACCAGGCATATCGAGTTCGTGGAACTCCTTCAGTTTAGAAGCTATAAGAGCAGATATATCCGGATCACGTAGATCACATGCTGAGAGTGTCTGAAAATGTGCAAGTGAAAGTGATAATATCAGGAAAGGAACAAAAAATGTTCTTCCATAGTTTGAGCTACATAACTCTTTAATTCACTTCTTTATGCAATTTATCCATGTAACCCAAGAAATTAAAAATAGATATTTTTTATCTTTCTCATGCATAACCACCAATAGAAGGAATTGTAAAACCAAATTAATCAATTCCGGAAAAAACTAGTATTAGTTAGAAAAGTTGATCTTGAGCTAGGGAAGTTAGTCATAAAACACTACGACATGACAATTTAGCATGGCATTCTTATGCACTAGAAATATACCGAGCGTTGATAGAAAAAAAGAACATGGTGCATACAATATGCTCCTAAACCCAAGTAGAAATGGTGAACGAATATTGTGTGTTCTTAAGAAATTCAACAGTAACGATCCATAGAAAACAACATTTTTTATTATTAGTTTAAGTGCAAATTATGAGATTGATAGAGAATGACAGCAAGATAAATAAAAATGAAAGTACCCGTGCATGGATGAACTCTTCAATTCGGCCATTTGGAAAACGCCCAAGCAGTCGAGGTCCCTGACCATTCTTTGACATGTGTTCAAACGTCCGGATCTCATTATCCCTGTCAAAGAACACCTCGACACCCTCACCATAAATCCTAACCAGAACTTTATGTGACAATTCCCCTGTCCTTGATGGCCACTTTATTTGGAAAACCTCATTAGTCATTGCACCCTTGAGAGGGATCACCTGCAGTGCCTTTGAATCTACCACATCGTCCCACTGGGAAGCCATTGATTGTAGAATCTCCCTAGCTTCAGCTGGAATACGATCTTCTCTGTTGTTGACATTTTCCATGGCGCCCATGATAAATGATTATGCTGCACATCCACACCACGATGATGTCGATGAATGTTACCCAAGCAACCTAATATCTTGGTGTGGAAATGTTGGATCCAAGAAAAATAAGCAAAGAAAGTAATATGATTGTTTGACAGACTCCCTAAAACAACATGCACTCTTAACCGTCTAACATGACCTAAAGCCTACAAATTTAAACCAGATACCAAATAATAGCTGTAAGAATGCATAATTAGCGCACCATTGCAGTCTAAACATGTGCATAAAACATTTTTGGCATCAAATAACACAACAATTTGTGTCCATTACTCTCCAACTCGCTCGCCGCAGACAATTCATTCCATTCCACAACACATTACAAAAATATAAAACGATTGGAAGCTGCCCAAGAGGCAAGAAACCAATTACCACATTATTCTATCTTAGGTAAGGATTAAGGACCAATAACATGCAATAATGGCCACAATTTTGAAACTTGCAGATATAATTAAGGGGGAAATTTCCATTTTCTTCAACAAAACAAACAGAAAATAATCCCAAATTCACAAGCAACATGCAAGATGCAACTTTCTCATTCATTTCTCAGCAATCCAGTCCCTTTCCCACCAATTCCCCGTTACCAACACAACACAAGCAAGAAAGGGATCCGACCCAGATTCTCAAGAACCAAATTGAAATAAAATAAAATAAAAAGATTTCTTCTTTGATGTTGCATGCAAATATTGGGGACTATTAGAGCAATGACAATACCTGGAAAGAAGAACCGGACCGCCGGAACGAAACGAAGCTGAGGAAGAGGAACCGCACGAGAAGAGGGCACGGAAGGTGGGCTATAAGAAAGCAGAAATACCTCGAGGTCGTGCGATTTCGGGGAGGAAGGGAAGGGCGGTGGAACGGAAGCGGGGGGGAGGGTGGTGGTTTTGTTGGTAATATTTTGGGATTTGAGCGGGTTGGCAGAGGAGTTTGGGCCGTTGGATTTCGGCTGTGAGGAAAGAAATGATTGTTACCTTTTACGTGTGAGTGACGAACCGCCCAAATGCGTGTTGTCTATTTCGGTACCCGGGAGACAAACCCGTCTAGCTAATGTGTGGGCTAACTACCTTCATGTGATTTTTAAATTGGGCCATTAGGTTTTAGTTTTTTCATATTGCTCTGTAATGTTTTCAAACTTTTGTATGTTTCAACATCTAATTATTCCTTAAATTGATTACTTTTTTAGGCTTTGTAATGCAAATGTGGCTTATATGTAAACTTAGTTACGGATTTTATACTCATCGTGTCATCAATTTAATAAATATTCAAATAATTCATTAGACAATAAATGTAAATTAATATCATTTTTAAACATTTAGGGTAACGTGAAAAAATTGAAACTTTGTGACCCATTTAAAATTTTTTAAAATTTTAATATCCACGTGGGCCCTAGATTGACACATGGTCGCCAGTCCCTGTCCATGTGAGTACCACGTCCCAAGTTAAGTGTTATTTTAACAGAAAGCTTGACAGATGTATGAAACTATCTAAGAATTATCACTTTAGGTACCAGAGTGGGATGAAAAAAAACTTGATGTTTGAAATGTTGAAAACCAAGAAATTTCAAGATAGTAAACTGAGATTTACCCCTAAATTTTAATTTTTTTAAAATTTTTTAATAATTTAATATCCACGTGGATCGTAGATTGAGACATGGTGCCCAGTCATTGTCCATGTGGGTGTCATATCGTCAATTCACGGAGATTTTGACGAAATACTTAACAAATGCATGAAAGTGACTCAAAATTATGACTTTAGGTAATAGATTGAGACAAAAGAAACTTGATTGTATAAAATGTTGAAAACTAAAAAAATTTAAAGTAATAAACTGAGATTAATTCTAATATAAATACACATATTCATGAATATAAATTTGTCGTGAAATAGTTATTGTAATATTTATAATATTACAGCAAATCCCATCATCAAATCAAATTTGACTCCGTATGCTTTGTACTTTTTATACGTGGGATAACTTAAAACTCTTAATAAAGCCCAGAGCACTTCAAGGCTAGTGGCATGTGACTGCGGTTTCCAATCTAAAAGCCAAAGTTGGGTGACACTATAAATCCCAATTAATACACAGACTACAAAGGTGGAATCAATTTAATTTTTTCCCGCGGACCCCGGCGGGCTTTCAGACACCACTGTCTCTACCTAATTCTCAACACACACCTGTAAACCCTCCTTCCTCCCTGCCCTCTTCAAATCTCACCTTTCATACACTTTTACATAATTATACATCTCTCTCTCCATGTTCACGGCGGAGTCACCTGCATCAGCCCCTGGTGTCGGCGTCGGCTACGGCATAGCCATTGCCGTCAGCATCCTCGTCCTCATCTCCGCCATCATGCTCGCTTCTTACGCCTGCGTTAAAGTCAAAGGCTCAACCGGCCGAGGCCACACAGGCGATGCCACTTCTAACTACTACGAAGACGGCAACCGCCGCTTCTCCACCACAAGCAACTCAACGGAGCCTGTGGTGGTCCTCACGGGCCTCGACGACCCCACCATTGACTCGTACCCAAAGTTGGTACTCGGCGAAAGCCGGCGGCTCCCTCAGCGCAACGACGCGGTGTGCTCCATTTGCTTGTCCGAGTACAAGCCCAAGGATCAAGTACGGTGCATTCCGGACTGCCACCATTGTTTCCATGCAGAATGCGTCGATGAGTGGCTTCGCATGAGCGCCACGTGTCCGGTTTGTAGAAATTCTCCGGCTCCGTCAGCCGGTCCAAGCCCTCTGTCCGATTTGGTGCCACTGGCTTTCAATGCCAGGTGATTCTGATTCTGATTATTTTCATCTTCTTTCTTGATTAAAATCTTGGGGTTTTTTTCTAATTTACTTTCAATGGCGAGTTAGGGTATTCATCTTCAAATCACCGTGTGATCCGGATTCAAACTTTCTCCTGTTCTTGTTCTTAGAGTAGATTAGTGTTAGTAGAAGAAGTTGCTACACGAATTTTTATTTATTTTTTAAGTTGGGGATTTTTACAAGTGACAATCTTTCGTCCACGACGGAAGGAGCACATGGGTAGTATATAGTATTAGTTGGTCCATCTCGATTTGCATTTACGTTCATGTTGGAGGTTAGATGACTTTGATTGTTCACATTGAATACAAAGTAGTTAGATTGCCGTAGATTGCGCTTGAATTACTTACCTAAATTTTTGTTTGATGTCAACTGCTCTCTTTATCTATCTACTTAATCTACTTTTGTTAGACGGTTGGTCTGCTCTGCCCGCAGTTGTAGACATTGACGCTATATGTTATGGGTGTCAAATTAACTCATTAGATTGCTAATAGATACCCATTAAGGCCTATTTAATTTGATTTCACATTACATCATTATCATCACTATCAATCTCACCACTACATTCTGATAATATCAAAATAAACAAGTCTTAACGAGTACCCATTAACAACCCAATAAGTTGATTTGTCACTTCTACTATGTGCAGAAGATTTAGTCTTGTTGGTTAAAAATATTTAATTATACGTTCTTGGTACTCTGTTGATTCTCATTTCTTTTAGTAAAGAGCATTAGAAATGATGGGATCACTGAACATGGAATTGGACCCACTTTGGACCTTAGTGTTCGGAGCTTAGGAATCCACAAATTTGAACCGCACAATTGTGTGAAAAAGAAATATGAGTCGTTGATTTGTGTGAGGTGGGTGGGCTAGCAGAATGAGTTAATGAAAATTGTTAGATTCAATTTGTGTGTTCCAAATTTATGGATCTCTGGGCTCCGGGTACTAAAGTCCATAATGGGTCCAATTCCATTGAACATTTGAGCACAACAGTTTTTCACGTTGTATTGTTTTGGATTATTTAGAAAACTAAAATAACATCACAAAGAATGTCTTCGACGGATTCTAAATCATAAAAATCAAACTTTAACCTAGGCAAGATTGAAAAATTAGTATACAAGATGTATGATCGTGATTATGAACTAAAGAAGCAAATCATCTGCCGCCAAAGGTTGATCTTGGATTCAAACCTTGGGGGTCACAGTATTAGAAGTCCAAATTTTTTACACAAAAACAGCGCACAAAGTGTGCAAAAAAATTTCAGTTTGTTAACTGGGGCAATTTGTTGACTATTTAGTGGACTTGTTGTCAGCCGAGCCATATTATGTATATGTCAACATATATCGACCATATGCTGAAGCAATTTGCTTAGTGTTATCGAGAGCATATGAGAGTTGAACTCTATCAAGTGTTGTTGATGCAAGCTGCCAATTGCTGCCGAACTCTATCAAGTGTTGTTGATTTGAAGATTCCCTAGACCTTCACATGCATGTTTTCCGGCCTTTGGATGATCCCAGGACCATTTTGGTCCTTATATCAATTTGTCCTTGTCAGCCACCATATTCACTTCTCGATAAATATGATTAAAAGTATAATTTTGAATTTGCTGACAAGAATACATCTTTCACTTTGTTTTGGCCAATGGAGTGAACGCACAAAGAAAGAAATATTAGATAAGGATTTTTTGTTTTTACTAAACGAATTCTTTTTAGAAACTTCACTTTTCATGTTTGCCTTTTTTTCATCATCAGTCTGTCATTTTCTTTGGAAAATTTACTACAAACAAATAAAGAAGCTATAAAAGGCTCTAGAAAAGACCAGTCCAAGTATACATACAGACAAAGTCAACAAAAGGCACAACAAAAGCTTGAGTAAGAAGGCACTAGCTAGCCCAACGAACATTTGACAAAGCACTGACTAGCCTGGAAATAACAGTTCTGAGACTGTTAATGCTAGATATTGTGTTAGAGTAGTTCTCATTTAGGTTTAGATAATGTATTTACATAATACAATGCTAGTTTAAATATAATCGCTACTAGTGGATTTAAATAGGGATTAAGAGATCAAGATGTTGAAGAATGCGATCTCACATTAGGGGTTGCATTCCTAATTACACTGAGATCCTTTGAGATAAAATCTAACACTTATTAAACAATACATGTGGTTAAGCCGAGACAATATCAACACGACTCTGAAATGCTGATACAAGGATCTCTTGAGTGTGAAAAATTGGAGCGTCATTTTCTACAGGGGAGTCCCCCATTGTTGTCCCCAATCAACGTGAAACTCATGTCATTGTTATCGTTCTTTGTTTGCTTGGATCTCTTCTGGAGTTGGCAATCTTTTATTAGCTGGCGAGGTTCTCTTACTAAAATAATTATGAAATTAGGTATTCGGTTGCGGACCTAGACACAAAAATAACCGCATATCCCATCACCCTTAATTTAAGGCGCACCACTACCTCACATCTATAAAAGCGTGCGTTTTTTCTTCGTATGGAGGTAGGAAGCTACATAATAGATGCATGGAAATTTGCAATGATTAGTGCTCAAACTCACAATTTTCTTTTCAATAGTTTTAGATTAAGATAATATCACGACTATTTTAACTTGGAGCACTATCCTTTTGTCTATAACAAATAACAAACCCTTTTCGTCATAAAACATTTTCATACTCTATTTTAACAGGTTATGAGAAACCATTTTATTTTCAATTTTTTTATTTTTACTTATTATTATTTTTAATTGAAAACTTGTTTGATTATTAACTGAAATTTCAATAAAGTTGTTTCTGTATTTTAGTTGAAAACTGAAAATAGTTATCATATGAAAGAACGTAAAAAGTGAAAACGAAATGGTTTTCGGATGACCACTAAGATTTTAAGTTTGTTAATTATTGATTCTAAGAGAAATGAAAAAAAAAAAAAAAAAAGGAAAATGTCAGGGAGGTCATGTCTTTAGACTATGTTTGTAGACCACATGATGTGATGATTGATAGCTGAATTTTTTATTTAATGATTTAAAAATAAAACTTAACTATCAATATCACATCATGTGGTTTACAAAATAAACTTCAGCCGAATAGTCTCTAGTATCACTTGAAAATAAAGTAAGTGAGGTAAGATATAAAGTAAGCGAACACAACAATCATATTTGGAGGCAA